TCCCACTCCCCCCACCTTCCTTGCAGTCAATCCAAATTTTTAATTTCCTGATGAATGCAGTACGTGGCACCTCAGGGATTTCAGAGCAGAGATCTCAGCATCAATGTTTGAATGGAGTCTGTTATCACCACCAAGGTGTTTATAACTCAAATCCAAGCCTTTATCACAAAAAGAGAGAGAAAAAGGAGAATATTTTGTACTCACTGTCAACCAACTCCCGTGTCTGACCCTGAACATGAAGATACAAAGGACGATCTCTGGGGAAAAAAAATAAAATATTCACTTAAACCCACAGACATCACAATAATAATGGATCCAATCTAATTATATTACAGTCATTACACACATAAAGTCTTCCATAAAAATCTGAAATGCCCTTCAGATAACAGAATACAAATTCTTTGAGTATTACAGGCAGAAAAGCTCTGCACTGAAAATGTCATTCAGGAGTTGATGATGACTCAGAAAAGTTACACCACTGAACAATTTAATTAGTTTGCTCACATAAATGGGTCACTAACTAAAAGCTGCAAGAAATTTGGATTTGGGAAGTTGCAGTGTTCTGTGGGGAGAAGTTGAGCACAGTGGGATGTGCCAGGGTAAGGTTGGGGTGATTATTTCAGCTGAAATAAAGCAGCTAGGAGCACCAGAATGGCAAATTTATTGGAGAACCAACCAAAAGGAACCCCAGCAAAAAAAAAAAAAAAAAAAAAAAGAAAGAAATACAAACCCAGGTCCCACTTTGGCTTTCTCTTCTGCAGTCATGAACCTCCCTCGAGTGGAGACAGCTGCTCCACTCAGACGACTGATCTGCAAAAAATGGACAAAGTCCAGTGATGACACACCTGCCACCAGCAAACAGGGCACACCCACAACGCCAAAATGTAAATAAATTTATTTATTTAAATAAATACATTTAAATAAGTTGCTGTAAAAAAACCCAGAAATCATTAATAAATTGCTAAAAGACTGCTGTTGGCTCTGAAGTCAGTACTGATGCCTTATGAAAGCTGATTTAGAACACAGGCTGGACAGAGTTAATTAATAAAGCAGGGATTTATTAGGGGGAAAAAGGGGGGAAAAGGGGGAAAAAGGGGGAATAAGGGGGGAAAAGGGGGGGAAAAGGGGGGAAAAGGGGGGAAAATGGGGGAAATGGGGGGAAATGGGGGAAAAAGGGGGGGAATGGGGGGAAAAGGGGGGGAAAGGGGGGGAAAAGGGGGGGAAGGGGGGGGAGAGGGGGGAAGGGGGGCGGAAGGGGGGAAAGGTGGGGGGAAACGGGGGAAAGGGGGGGAAAGGGGGGAAAGGGGGGGAAAGGGGGGAAAGGGGGGGAAAGGGGGGAAAAAGGGGGAAAAAAGGGGAAAAAAGGGGAAAAAAGGGGAAAAAAGGGGAAAAAAGGGGAAAAAAGGGGAAAAAAAGGGAAAAAAGGGAAAAAAGGGAAAAAAGGGAAAAAAGGGAAAAAAGGGAAAAAAGGGGAAAAAAGGGGAAAAACGGGGAAAAACGGGGAAAAAAGGGGAAAAAAGGGGAAAAAAGGGGAAAAAAGGGGAAAAAAGGGAAAAAAAAAAGAGAAAAAAAATAGAAAAAAAAGAGGAAAAAAAAGAGAAAAAGAAAAGAGAAAAAAAAAAGGAGAAAGAAGAGAAATTGTAGAGGGTTGTGGAAGGCCAGAGGGACGTACCTCATCCTGGGTCTGGCCCCTGGTCAGCAGGTTCCTGCAGGTCAGGGGGACGTCGTTGATCTCCACCTCTGCCACCACCAGGTCATCTTTGCTTTTACTCGTGGCTGGACCTTTCCCCAGAGCCTGCAGCTTCAAAAAAAGCAGTTGCACAAGTGGGTGGAAAGCAGGAAAGCAAACTAGAGAGTAAACATCCTTCTTATGTCACCCTGCTTTATTTTAAATTTCTTCTAAAAGTTCCTACGCCTTCCGATGTTTACATATTTCAACTGAGTTTTCTCACACTGTTTAAAATAATTATAAAATAATAACAAAATAATGATTGTTTTATATTTTTCTTTGTAGCTAGAGAGAATTGATGGGCTGTTGGTTTGAGAGGCGGTGATTTCTCCTCTAATCCACTGTCATTTTACTATTACATATATATAAAATAATATACATTATTATACATATATAAATATATAATAATATATAATAAATATATTATATATAATAAATATATAATAATATATATTATAGATATAAAAATATGTATTATAATATATACATTTATATATTTGTAAAAAATATATATTTTATGACTCTCCTATGTGTATATATATATATTTTTTTATATATATATATATATATATATATATATATGAGAGTCAGAAAATAAAGTTGATTTTTTTAGCTTATTTTTCTTTCTTTTTACATCCAGCCTGCTTCTGTGATTTATTTTGTGTCAAAATGAGAAATTCTTGTTCACCCCTTTCATTTATTGAAGGTAAAATTCTTACAGAGATTATGGAAAGCACGTTGGAATATTCTTGATTTGCCTCCTCACAGCCCAAATAAACACTCTGGATTTATTTTCAGCACATATTGATAGAATAATTAATGTTTCTGCTCTGTACATGATGTAAAACTGAGCTGTAGAATTTCACCATTTCACACTTCAGCTTTGACAGAAATCTGAGAGGACAATGAAATGTGTACTTCATGCTTCATTAATTTTGAATTAATTTAGAATGTCTGTCCAAGATCTAAACTGATCCACACTACACTCATCTTTAAAAAATATTTTTAAATTATTTCTAAGTGCTTTTTTCGCAGGCAATTCTCTGAATCCGCGCCCACCCACCCACCTTGTCCGCCGTGCTGGGCGCCGGCTTCAGCTTCCCTTTGGCCATCAGCATCGCGTTAATCTTCGCCGCCACGGCCGCGGCCGCATCCAGCGCTCCCGAGGGCGCCGCGGAGCTCTCGGACCCGGCCACGGCAGCGCCGCCATCGCCGCCCCCACCGGGGAACGGCCGCCCGGGCAGCGGCGCGGTACCGGGGAGGAGGAAATTCGGAGCAGGGCCGGGTTGATCCCACTTGCTGCGGCGCCTGGAAAAGAGAAGGAGGGTGAGGCGCTGCTCTGAGGGGCGGCGGGACCGCCCTGAGCCGCCGCGGCCGTGCCTCACCCGCCCGCGGCCCCCGCGTCCCGCTGCGCTCCGCCGCCCGCCGACATGGCCGCCGCCGCTGCCGGCCGTCACTTCCGGTCCGCGCAGAGGCCGCTTCCGGTCGTTGCCACGGCGACGGCGCGGCCGCTTCCGGTTGTCGCCATGGCGACGGCGCGGCCGCTTCCGGTTGTTGTCATGGGGGACGGAGATGGCGCCGCGGGGAGGGGAAGGAGAAAATCACCGAATTTAACCCATTCCCCACGTGAAAAACACGTGGAAAGTTTAATAAAGGAGACGAGGAGACAAAGATAATAAGGCAAAGGTTTTTATGGCTGAGTGCGTGTTGGGATTTAGCTAAGAGCACTCTTCGGGCATACCCTTTAAATACTTATATTATTTTAGTTTGTTACATATTCATAAACGATTATTCCTTTAAATACTTCTTCTATTATATTAGCTTGTTACATATTCATAAACGATTATTCCTTTAAATACTTCTTCTATTATATTTGTTATATATTCATAAACGATTATCCCTTTAAATACTTTTTCTACTATATTAATTTGTTATATATTCATAAATGGTTATCCCTCTAAATACTTATTATATTAGCTTGTTACATATTCATAACCGATGCGCCCTTTAAATGCTTCTTCTATTACATTAGTTTGCTACATATTAATAAGCGGTTATCCCTCTAAATACTTATTCTATTAGCTTGTTACATATTCATAAATGATTTTCCCTTTAAATACTTCTATTTTGGTTTTTTTTTTCAGGAATGAGATACTCGCTTCGAGGAACACCTAAATCTTCCAAAGAAAAGGAATTTATGTTTTTTTTTTATCAGAAAAAGCTAATTTCTTCAGGCCTTGCTCAACAGAAACCTTGGGAATTAAAGGAAACAGTTGACTTACAACACAGTTCTTATTTTAAATAAAATGTATGCATAACCGTGAAGGATGTATTAATATATTGGCGTTTTTCACCCTTATGTTCATTGGGTGTTACGCCATCCAAGCAGACATTTTAACACAAATTTTTATCAGCTATTTCCCTAAGCTTAATTAACAACAGAAATAAAAACCATATCCTTGTGAAAAACGCCAATTGCTTGGTTTTTCTAATTTTTAAAAGTTTAATAATAATAAAGTGGTTATAAAAATAGTAATACAATTAGAGTAATAAAGTTTAGAGTTAGGATAATTACAAGGCAATAAAAAGCAAATAATTCTGGATGTTTGGATGCTCTCAAGTCATGAAAAGCATCCCTTGTGAACAAAGGAATAACCTTAAAAACAATAACCTGTTGCATATTCATATATCCTTCATGGTTATGCATACATTCTATTTAAAACAAGTATTTTTTCTGTTGTATGTCAACTGTTTCCTTTAATTTCCATGGCATCTTCAAGTTGAGCAAGGCCTGAAGAAATTAGTTTCTTATGATAAGAAAACCGTAAATTCCTTTTCTTTGGAAGATTTAGGTGTTCCTTGAAGCGAGTATCTCATCCTAAAAAAAAACTCCCATCATACATAATCTCTATTTTAATATTATGTTGGAACCTAAAACTATATATATTAATTAATACAGCATCACTTTCTAACATCACACATATGATATTCATTGTTATATTTATTAAAAGCCAATCACAAAACATGCATTTTTCACAAGGGCCAAAGCTAGAATTAGAAAAAATAAATCTTTATAATTCCCTCAGAGCCCAGAACATTCCACAATGGCCGCAGCCCTCAGGGCAGGGGCGGCGGCTGCGCATGCGCGGCGCTTTGGCGCCAAACGAAGCCGAGCCCCGCCCCTCGGATTTTGCGCACGGCCCCGCGGCGGCGCCCGCTGAGGGCGAGGGCGGGAAACGGCGCCCTGAGGCTAAGGGCGGCGTTTGCCTTCATCTCCCTTCTTTATCTCTCTTCTCCTCACATTCTCCTCCAGTTTTTCCTCCCTTATCTCTCAACTCCGTTCACTTCTGAGTTTTGTCGCCCGCAGCCTCGTGGAAGAGGTGGCGGCTGCGCATGGGCGCCCGCGCCGGTTTGGCGCCAAACGAGAGCGAGCCCCGCCTCCCGGGTTTTGCACACGGCCCCTCGGCCGCGCCCGCTGAGGGCGCGGGGGGCGTTTGCCTTCCTTTGTCTCCTTTCCTTCGTCTCCATCTCCTTTCCTTCGTCTCTATTCTTCTCACATTCTCCTCCAGTGTTTCCTCCCTTATCTCTCAACTCAGTTCGCTTCTGAGTTTTATCTCCCGCCGCCCCGCTCTGCTCTGCCGCGTTGTGTCTTCGCGCTTTCCTCCTCAGTTTCCCCTTGAGGAAGCAGGTGATGGTTTCTGCTTTGAGGGGGGTGAGGGGTGCTGTCGGTTATGGAGGATTGGTGAGGGGAACTCGGTGCCCTTGGTGATCCACACTTTGTTTCTAACTTGGGAAAGGTGTTTTCCTCAGGCGTGGGTGCATTTGATATTCCTGATGTGAAAAATGCAGATTTTATGATTGGCTTTTCACCAATATTACAATGAATATTATACGTGTAATAGTTATGGTGTATTAATTCTCTTAAATAATGTGTTAAATCTAATTTTAGGTTCCAACATAATGTTAAAATAGTGACTGTGTATGTGGGCGGAGTTTTTTTTTAGGAAGGAGATACTCGCTTCGAGGAGCACCTAAATCTTCCAAAGGATAGTGTGAAAAATGCATATTTTATGATTGGTTTTTCGCAAATATTATGATGAATATTACAGGTGTAATGCTAGAAAGTGATGCTGTATTGATTCTATTAAGTAGTGCGTTAAATACAGTTTTAAGTTCCAACATAATGTTAAAATAGAGACTGTATATGTGATGGGAGTTTTTTTTAGGATGAGATACTCGCTTCGAGGAACACCTAAATCTTCCAAAGAAAAGGAGTTTATGGTTTTCTTATCATAAGAAACTAATTTTTTCAGGTCTTGCTCAGACTCTTGGGGATTAAAGGAAACAGTTGACATACAACAGACAAAATTTTTGTTTTAAATAGAATGTATGCATAACCATGAAGGATATATGAATATGCAACAGGCTGTTGTTTTTAAGGTTATTCCTTTTTTCACAAAGGATGCTTTTGATGACTTAGTGTCTGAGAGCATCTGGACATCCATAATTCTTCTCTTTTTATTATCTTGTAATTGCCCTAACTCTAAACTTTATTACTCTACTTGTATTACTATTTTTATAACCACTTTATTGTTATTATTAAACTTTTAAAATTTTGAACAAACAAGTGATCGGCGTTTTTCACGCTGACTTGGGGAAAGGCTTTTGTGGAGTCAGGGTGATGAGGGTTCTGTTTCTCCCATACTCATTTAAATTACAGATGAAAACAAGTCTGGAGCTGTTTGAAATGTGGGGAACCTTTTCATGAGGTCCTTTGAAAATCCAGTAGGTTGAAGAGGGCTGTCTTTAGAGGTTCATATTTCGTTGAAATACAGATATAAATGTGCTAATTTTTGCATCCTCTAACCTCAGGGGAGGCCTGTGCTGCTGTGAAAATCAAGAATGTGACTCTGGGGATGATTAGAGGAACTGAACTGAAAAATACAAGTTTGTTTGAGCCGGCAGGAGGTGTTTGTAAATCCAGGGAATGCCTTTTTTTATTTTTTCCTTATCCAGGTGCTAATGCAGGTGTTTCATTGACAGTCACAGGATGGCAACTGCTCAGAAGCAAAGGAGTTCAGTGGTATGGTTTTGTTTTTGTGTATTTCGGCACAATCGTGGGGAAAAATGGGGGAATTTTAGCTGGAGCAGTGCACCCAGGTGCTCTGTGGTATTTTTTAATGTGAAAATGGGTTAATTCAGTCTTTTAATTATGAATGAAGGATAGATAGCAAAAAAATGATTGAAAAATAATCTGAACTTTGTTGTCGTAGAAACTGTGTCCCACAAATATTGTAACACCAAGTGTGAGGAATGTGCTTAACTTTATAAATCATGAAATTGAGTTGGTTTCTTGCTGGGATTTTCAGAGTGCAGTTGTATTTCCCAAGAAAATAGCCACGGAGCAGCAATCCCTGATGCTGGTGAAGAGGCTCCTGGCAGTGGCAGTGTCCTGCATCACATACCTGAGGGGAATCTTCCCTGAAAGTGCCTATGGAACCAGATACATGGATGGTAAGGAGCTGTTTCCATGAAAAATTTCAAAAAAAATGCTGTTTTTTTCTTGTTTTTAAAGCCACTTGGTCTATTTAATGAATGGATGCCATTTCAGTGCATGTAAAGGGAATTTCACTAATGAATTAATTAAATTTTGTTTATAATTCTGGTAATATCATTGCTGCTAACTCAGCATTAAAACTTTGCTCACGCTTGTCAATTGTCAAAATATTAATTTTAGTCTGTGAAAAATGCATATATAATGATTGGCTTTTTGCAAATATTCCAATAAATATTTTATGTGTAATATTACAAAGTTATGCTATATTAATTCTCTTAAGTAGTGTGTTAAATACAGTTTTAACTTCCAACATAATGTTAAAATAGGAACTATGTATATAAAAAGAGGTTTTTTTTTTTTTAAGAATAAAATACTCACTTCAAAAAACACCTAAATCTTCCAAAGGAGAGGAATTTATGGCTTCTTATCAGAAAAGCTAATTTCTTCAAGCCTTACTCAAACTCAAAGACACCATAAAAATTAATGGAAATAGTTAACATACAACAAACAAGGTTTCTTATTTTAAATCAAATATATACATAACCATAAAAATATATAAATATACCACAAGTATATTATTTTAAGAGTATTTATAATGTAAAATATTATATATAAAGTATAATACAAAATATTATTTTTAAAGTAATTCCTTTGTTCAGAAGGTTTGTTTTTTTGTAACTTAGTGTCTAAGAGCATCCAAACATCTGTAATTCTTTACTTTTTATTGTCTTATAGTTGTCCTAACTCTAAACTTTATTACTCTAATTATATTACTATTTTTATAATAATTTTATTATTATTAAACTTCTAAAATTAAAAAAAACCAAATAATTATCTTTTTTCACAACTCTCTTCTTGATGTTTACTTTTAGTCAATGAACTTTTCATTGCACTTTGTCCTAAGTAATTGTGTGGGGTTTTTTGTTTTATTTGGGTTTTTTGTTTGTTTTGGTTTTGTTTGTTTGGTTTTTTTGTTTTTTGTTTTTTTTTTTTTTGAGATGTCTGTGTCAAAATTCTGCGAGAAGACAAAAACTGTCCTGGCTCTACCCAGCTGGTGAAATGGTAGGTTGATTCCAGCACACAGGTAACACTTCCTCAGCATGTGAGTGCTCAAAGATTCCTGTTTTTTTTCCACTTAAAGGCAAAAATTTCCCTCCTACATTTGTTTCCCAGATGTAACATTGATGTTTCCACAAAGGTTTTCAGCTCAGGGCTTAGCAGAGCACAAATCTCTTTTTGCAAAGTGAATATATTTTATATTTACTAAATAAATATTTAATATCTAACACTATGTATTTGTATATTTCATTCCTCTGGGTGCTCAAGAATGCACAGAAATACAAGTCTAGCCAAGTAATTCCTCTTTATTGCTCAGGAGACTCAGTGCCACCATTTTGCATTTTAAATTTCAAGATCCCACTCACAGATTTGTTAAAGAGTGGCACTGTCAGTGTACAAAGGCAGAGCTGCAAAATCCTGCAGCTGCTTTTCTGCTTTTCTTCCTGCTCTGTGCCAGGTGTTCTCCTTGTTTTTTAGAAACCTCTCTAAGGTTTTGGCCTTAAATACATATTCCTGTATTTTGTTATCTTTATAAAGGTTCTGTTCCCTCTTTTTTTTTTTTTTCCTCTTTTTTTTTCCCCTCTTTTTTTTCCCCTCTTTTTTTCCCCCCCTCTTTTTTCCCCCCTCTTTTTTCCCCCCTCTTTTTTTCCCCTTCTTTTTTTCCCCCCTCTTTTTTTTCCCCTCTTTTTTTTCCCGCCCTTTTTTCCCGCCCTTTTTTTCCCCCCCTTTTTTTTCTCCCCTTTTTTTTTCTCCCCTTTTTTTTTCCCCCCTTTTTTTTCCCCTCTTTTTTTTTCCCCCTTTTTTTTTCCCCCTTTTTTTTTCCCCCCCTTTTTTTCCCCCTCTTTTTTTTCCCCCCCTTTTTTTTCCCCCCCTTTTTTTCCCCCTCTTTTTTTTCCCCCTCTTTTTTTTTCCCCTCTTTTTTTTTCCCCTCTTTTTTTTTCCCCTCTTTTTTTTCCCCTCTTTTTTTTCCCCTCTTTTTTTTCCCCCCTTTTTTTTTCCCCCCTTTTTTTTTCCCCCCTTTTTTTTTTTCCCTTTTTTTTTTTTCCCCTTTTTTTTTTTCCTCTTTTTTTTTCTCCCTCTTTTTGTTTTCCCCCTCTTTTTGTTTTCCCCCTCTTTTTGTTTTCCCCCTCTTTTTGTTTTCCCCCTCTTTTTGTTTTCCCCCTCTTTTTGTTTTCCCCCTCTTTTTGTTTTCCCCCTCTTTTTGTTTTCCCCCTCTTTTTGTTTTCCCCCTCTTTTTTTTTTCCCCCCCTCTTTTTTTTCCCCCTCTTTTTTCCCCCTCCTCTCTCTTTTTTCCCCTTTTTTCCCTCCCTCTCTTTTTCCCCTCCCTTTTACAAGGTGTGGGAGGAATGCTGCATTCATCCTCTGCCAGTGCTGAAGGGTTTGGATTTTGGGACAAGGATATTTGAGATATTCCACGTGTGGGGGGTGGAACTTCACACCAGATTCTCTTATCTGAAGACACTGAATGTTACATGGAATTCCTCGTTTAGCAGAAATAAGAGAAAATACACCAAAACCACAATGGAAATGTCAGCTGCACTTTGCAAAGCTTAGGCTGGAGGGCTGAGAATTGATGTTAAAGAGGGAGTCAGCCTTAATGAATATGTGTTGGAAAATGCTTGAAGCATTGCAATGTGTTTTTACTGATAAATGATTTACCTACAGATGATATTTTAAATTGATTTACCTACAAATTGTATTTTTAATTATTCTCAGGAGGTTGGGGTGACTTGGTGTTACAGAGAGAGTCATTGCTTGTATCACTGCTAATAAGAGAATGATGGAATAAGTGTTATTTATTGCTCTAATACAATAAGAATAAACACAAGAGTTCCATTTTTTTGGTGCTATTTGATTTAATGAGAAACAAGTGAAAATCAGCAGGAGATGGCAAATATTATTTGGTTTTTGCAGGTTGTTAGGATGCTATGATGCCTTGCAGAAGAAATATGTAAGTCCTCCAGTCTCATTTCAGTTGTGTTGAAATGTTTATTTATCTGCCAGTGCAGTTGTAGGACTGCTCAGGGAGTAGCTGAGCTCACTCAGCTGCAGTGTGGGATGCACAGGCATTTCTGCATCAAATTCTTGTAAACAGCAGCACAGAAAGATCTGGGGGTGGTTTTTTTCTGCAGCTGAATCCTCTCCTCCACAGAAAAGGAGTGAAGAGGAAGATTTTCCTCCAACAGGCCTTAGTTGCCTGTGTTGGATTCCAGAGCTAGAGACAAAGCAGCACAAATGGGCAATGAAATAAATTTAATGTTCTTTTTTTTTTTTCCTCTGTTTATGTTCCTGCCAGCTGAGACAGATTGTCCTAGCAGTGAGTATCTCTGAAAGGCAGGGGTGTGTTTTTAGGGGACATTCTTTGAGGGATGTGCAGTTCTCATTCTGATTCCTCTATTTTCTTTAAAAATGCAGGTCTATACCCAGACAGAAGATCCTCAGGTAAATCTGCTGGAATATCTCACTGATGTTAATATGGATATAGTGAAATGTCTGTACCAGCAGGAATATTGAATATACACATCTGTAAAAAAAGGACATTTTGAAATACCAGGTGTAAAAATGACTGAAGTCAGTGGGAATTACCATGTATGAAATTGCATTTGAGTGTTCTCAGCCTGTGCAAAAAAAACAAAATGTCATTGCAGAGTGAGATCCTGACTCTGCCTAACAATTTCATGGGACTTTTGTGGAAAACACAAAACCCACTGGGTGTCACCACATCTGTTCCACGTGTGCAACATTTCCATAGCAATTGAAACTGAAAATTTTATGGTAAAAACTTCAGCTGGTTTTCAAAATACTTAATCATGGAATCATCATTTTTATTATGTTTTAAAGAGTTTTATATGTTTTTACTGTGAATTGTTAGAGGATTAGGAGCCTGTATTCAGCACGTGGGAGTTGGGCTGTGGTTATTTCCTTTAAAGGTTAATGGATTACTGAGCAGAGCTGCAGCAGGAATGTTTAGGATTAATAATTAGTTTAATCATTACTGGCTTTGTTTGCAGACAGTCACAGAGTGTTACCACTTCAAGTTCAAGTACACCCACAATGGGCCACTCCTGGATTTTGGCAGGTACAGCCCCTGGGACTGTTCCACGTCCCTTGGACACACCTGAATGTCACAGCTTTTAAATTCTGCATCTTGAGACTGATTTTATCAACATACACTACTAGCTTAGCTGTGCTAAAATACAATTGATCACTTTGATAATGCTCATATTTTAATATCCACTCAGAAGATTGTGGTCAATGTTAGTCTGATACTCTGTGAGGATATTTGAGATATTTTATGTGTAGGGGGTGAAGCTTTACATCAGATGACTTGCCATCAGTATCTGAAGATACTGAATGTTACATGGAATTCTTCATTTAGCAGAAATAAGAGAAAATACACCGAAACCACAATGGAAATTTAAGTTGTGATACACAGCTTGGTTGTGGTGGGATTCCCATTGCTGAGGTGAGGGCACAGGGCATCCCTGGCTGTTTGAGCACTGTGTGATGTAGGATAGAACAGTTGGTGCCAGGTGCTGATCCTGGCACCAGAATAATTTAATGGATTTACCTAAGATTGTGTTTTTAATTATTCTTTCAAGAGGTTGGGGTAAACCCTCCTGATGTCCCTGGCTCAGGGTTTGATCTCCCAAAGAGATCAGACAGCAAGCAGGGGTAGGAATTTCAGTGTTCAGTCTCAGAGCTCGGGCAATAAACAGGATGCTTCTCACCTTCATAATTGTTAACAAAGAAATGTGGATCATGTTCATAATCTGTTAACAAACTTTGGAAATGTGGATCAAACAAAATCTGTGTGTTTTTAGCAAGGACAAGAGCTCAGACTCCACCATCAGCTGTGCAGACACCAAGAAGGCCAGCATCCTCCTGATCCGCAAGATCTACGTCCTGATGCAGAACCTCAGCCCCCTGCCCAACGACGTCTGCCTCACCATGAAACTGCTCTACTACGATGAGGGTACACTGCCCTGTCCCCCTGATTTGTTCAGCCTCTGCAGAGCAATCCAAAGGAATGTTTAATGAGTAATCCTTGTGGCTGTTCAGTGAGGTTATTTCACCTGTGGCTGTTTCTCAGGACAGAGGGATGTGATCTCCCTGCAGGAACACAATCCTGGCACTGACTTGGTTGGATTTGGCTGGGTGCCGGAGCTCACCTTTAGGTTAGGGGTGGCTCCATGTGGTGCAAAAATTTCTCTTCTAACTTCTGCTTTTAAAAAAAGGCTTAGAAGTTTTCTGTTGTTTGGTTTCAAGGCAGTTTGTTGCAAGTTATCTAAAAGATTTTCTTCTCAGGCTGCTGTGGTTTGCTCCGCAGCTCAGGCAGAGGCACACACACACCCTGACATCCTCTCTGACTCCCATCTTCTCTCTCCCAGCTTAGGACTGCTGCTGTCTTTTATATGGTACATTGAGTGTTACATGTTTATAGTTTTCCCCCAATGCCCATTACCTATATTAAATGGTGCCTTTCTACTCTAAACCAATCTGTGAGTGCCAACATCACCAAGAACATGGAGGTGAGGAAGAAGAGAGAGGGAGGACAGGGCAGGCTCAAATCTCTCTATCTTAAAACCAAAACCCCCATGTACAAAACCAAAATCCCCCTGTACAGCGCTCAAAAATTCTTCCCTCTACTTTGTGACTACTTCTACTATAATATCCAAAATTTTGTGACTTCTTGTTCTTCTTGCAAGGTTGGTAACTCATTCCATGGCTCAAACCCCAAATCACAGCTGTTTCCAGCTGCCTGCCAGGGTCTCAAATGCTTCTGAGCTGGGCCTGGAACATCCAAAAACGTCTGAGGGACATTTTGAGTTCCCACAGCTGGGTTTTAAAACATTTGGAGTTTCGCAGAGTGTGTCAGGCTATAGCAGAATTTCCCAGCCTGGTTCTGGTTTGATGACTGTCCAAATACCTGGCTCTGCTTTCTGAGTGTGTTCCTGCCTTACAATGACCAATCAGAGCTTCTATTTTTTATATCTACAACCTCTTCCAGAGAGCTTTAACAGGGCTTTAAATAGAGACTTTAAAGAGGCTGACTATTGATTACTCCTCTCCCCCCACACAGTTTTTTTTGCAGTAACTCTGTATTTAAAGGGGAAAAGAGTTAAAATGAGTTTTTAAGGACATATTTCACTCTAACACATTTAATTTCTCTGTAGTTACACCCCCTGATTACCAACCTCCAGGATTCAAGGAGGCCAAGGATGAGGGGCTGCTGTTTAAGGAGGAGCCCATGTACCTGAATGTGGGGGAAGTGCCAACACCTTTTCACCTGCTGAAACTGAAAATCACCACTGAGAAACAGCGCATGGAGAATGTTGATAAGAGCATCCTAAAGCAGGGAGAGAGTGCTGAGCCTCGGCAGGTGGCAAAAGAAGAGAGCCAGGACATGAATGTAAGAGTACAGACTTTGTTTTGGGTAGCTTTTTGAATTTTTTGGTGGTGTATCATCTAGAAAAAGTCCATTATTATTTCACTGTGTGTAAGCCATAACCCCCTTTATATTGAGGACAATATGTCTTGAATCTATTTTTTCTTTAATTTTACTGGTCAGTTTGCAGCCTGTCACTGTTAAAGCAGGGTGAGCAGCAGAGGGACACAGATGGAACCTCACAGTCCCGTGTCACAATCACTTATTTCAGTTTATTCCACCACAAATCCATCTAATAAGTGTGTCCTTAATCATCTCAGTAGAAACCTTCCTTGTGTGTCTGCTGTAAGTGACAGACTTGTTCCTTAATCTAGGAGGATCCTGTCTTGGATAATGAAGTGGAAGATAAGAATAATGTGAATATTTCAGAAGCTCAAGGTAATATTTGTATATATATTTCAGTATTATATTTTTAATATATATTTGTATATATTATATAATTTTTGTAATACATATTTGTATATATATTTCCATAATATATTTTTATTTTATGATATGTTTTATTATAATTTTATATTATCTATTATATTATTCAAGCCCTCAGTTTTCTATATTCAAATATCTATTATTTTCTTCACATATATGACTGTGCCTTCATTATGTGAAGCACTTGGTTAACAAGTGTTAACACGTTAAAACATGATCCCCATATTTTCATGTTAAGTGTTCAAAACTCTGATCTTCTGGTCCATTTTATCAGATAAGCTAAATAGAATGGGATTTATATTCTAAATAAATTTTATTTGCTGCTCTGGGCCACCTGTGCCAGGGCCTCCCATCCTCACAGGGAACAAATCTTTCCCAATATCTGGCAGGGTAAAGCCATTCCCTCTTGTCCAAAGCTCTTCTGCAGGCTGAACACCCCCAACTCTCTCATCCTTTCCTTCTAGAGGAACTTTAATAAGTACAAATTCTAACAAAGTACTTTTGTTAGTATGAATCACACAAAAATGAATTTTCTCAAGTGTTTTTCCTAACACTGTCAGTAAAACCTGACAGTAGATAACTCCTCCAGGCCTGGAAACTCCCCACTGCTGGCTTTTCATCAGAGCAACAAAAAATGTGAACCCAAACCGTCTCCAGCTCAAAACATGAGACACTCCAAGGGATCCATGAGGTCCTCAGGGATCTCAGGAGTTTCCTTTTCAGATTTTGGATAAAACAGAGGATGGTTTGTGTTCACATTTCCCTTCAGGGGCCTGAAGACTGAACTTTGCTGCCAAACAAACTGAAGAAGGAATTGCTGCTTGTTGATCTGCTCCTCTTGGAGAGGCTGGATAGAAGCACCCAAACAATCTGGAACCCATTTGCTGTACAGAAAGCATTTCAAATGTTGAGTTTGGGGTTTTTTTTGGTTTTTTGGGGTTTTTTTTTGGTGCAGCTTTGCCAAACCAGCTGCCATTTCCATGCTGTTCAAAAATAATGGTGGAAATGTGTAGGAAACAGCACGTGTAGATCAGAATTTTTGTCTTGACAATGCTGGTAGGCTGCAGAACTGGAATAACCACATGCAGTTGTGTCTGATTCTTCTAAAAAATCATAAAAGTTCCAAAACCACGCAGAAATGCAGAAAATTTCTTTCCCTAGGGAGTTGGCAAGTGTTTTATTTACAGGGAAACCCATTTATCAGCCTGGAATTCTTGTATTGTTTCCACAGCTGATGCACAGTCACCCATTCACCATTTCATTCTGTTTGTACCCTAGAAAAGCAGCATGGATTAGGAACAGCCAAAAAGTGGCTGAGTTCAATAAATTCAAGTTTGATGGAGATGAGAACTGCAGTCTACAGCCTGTTCCCAGCAGTTAAAAAGTGTTCCCCGGGGCAGAGCTGGTGTTTTTAACACCTTTATTTGTTTTTAACACCTTTATTTGTTTTTAACACTTTATTTAACTCTCCAATGTTTCCTTCTTTCAGAAAAGAATTCAGCTAAAGAAGAGGAAGCTGGAGGGTTCCAGACTCCCCTCAGTGTTTCCAATCCTCAGGTAGGAACACTTTGCCCTGTCATCTTCAGCTTTTCCTGGAGCTTCTGTGCAGCTCCTTCCTTCCTTTCAGTAACCTGCTGAAGCCTTATTTCCCCCAGTCACTATTTCCAGCAACAAAATTCCTTTACATTTCACTTCCTGGTGTTTTCCAAAACTATTCTAAAGCCCTGACAAAAGGCTGTTCCTCTGAAATAACAGCTCTCGAAACAAACCAGAGGCTGTGACTGTTCCTGAGTGAAAAGGAGAATGGAATTTCCATGTTAATAAAACTGCTTGATGGGAATTCCACTGCTAATTCTGACAAATCAAAGCTTGTTTAAAAGTTGCTTCAAACTTAATTCAAGTTTATAACTCAGGTTATATTCCCTGCATGTAGAATTTGGGGGCATTTATACATGGAGGATTGCTTCACACAGGTCTTTAATAAAGATTTCTTAAAACAGGATAGCTGTAGGTAAGTGTGAGTGATTTTCTGTATGAAACCAGCACATGCTTCTCTCTGCCAGGTCCCTCCAGCACACCCAGCTGTAAAAGCTGTGATTTCCATGGGTTATCACCACTTAAAAACCCCCAAATTTCAGTTTTGAGCAGTGAATGCCCCAGCACTGAGCCCTGCTGTGCTCTCCAGTGTGTATTTTTTGCAAAATCTCTTTCCTGATTCCAGGTTGATCATTTGACCCGTAAAACATCTGAGCTGATTGTGTCAGAGAGCAGGACAAGAAGTGGAAAGATATTCCAAAGCTGCATTGTAAGTATCAGTTTTTCTTTAGTTCTCATCATTTCTGTTCCAAACAGTGAATAAAACTCAGAGCTTGAATGCATTTGCTGTTGACAGAATGAAATTCTCATCACTTCCTAAATTCCCATTCAATTCAACACTGCCAAAAAGAATTCTGTCCCAAAGAGTTGGAAGCTGACTCGATGCAGGTAACAAAATTCCTTAGTTTTAGCTGATATTTAGCCAAATTTCCTGCAGGTTTGATCCATCAGCCAGGGGAGTTTGTGCCAGCAGAGATGCCCAGCACTTCCCCAGTGCTTCTTTGTGCTTCTATTTGGGAAACACTGGGCCAAAATTAAAACCTCACCTCTGTGGCTCCTTCATTCCTAGAAAAAAATCCCTTTTATTTGTTTAATCAGGTCAGTCTGGCAGGCAGTGCTGCTTGTGTGTACCCAAATCTTCCCACCTGGCACAGCTGCACCAGAGGTTGTGTCCAAGCTGGAATTTGGGCCCCATGTCTGTGTTGGTTTTTGGCATCTGCAGCTCTGGGAGGTTTTGGGGCCCTTCACCAGGTGTTGGGAATTCTGAGTGAGGGGCAAATCCTTCTCCAAAACCTCTGGGATGAATTTCTTGCCAGGAAATAGCATCCAGATGTTCCTGCAGGTGCTGCACATCTGGGCAGGGACTGGGGTGAGGCTCTGGCTGTGTCCCACCTCTGTCCTGGCCCCAGGAGCTCCTGTAATTCCACGTGTAATTCCATCTGTTGGTTTTCCTTGGCAGGTGCACCCGGCTGAGCTCTCCTCCAGCCAGGAGGTGCTGCCCAAAAGGAGGAAGCTCAGCGAGCCCAAGGAACAGTTTTAGTTGCCCAAAAGGAGGAAGCTCAGCGAGCCCAGTGACCAGTTTTAGTTGCCCAAAAGGAGGAAGCTCAACCAGCCCAAGGAACAGTTTTAGTTGCCCAAAAGGAAGAAACCCAAGGAACAGTTTTAGTTTGCCCAAAAGGAGGAAGCCCAAGGAACAGTTTTAGTTGCCCAAAAGGAGGAAACTCAGCGAGCCCAAGGAGCAGTTTTAGTTGCCCAAAAGGAGGAAGCCCAAGGAACAGTTTTAGTTGCCCAAAAGGTGGAAGCTCAGCGAGCCCAATAACCAGTTTTAGTTGCCCAAAAGGTGGAAGCTCCACCAGCCCAAGGAACAGTTTTAGTTGCCCAAAAAGAGGAAGCTCAACCAGCCCAAGGAACAGTTTTAGTTGCCCAAAAGGAGGAAGCTCAACCAGCCCAATGACCAGTTTTAGTTGCCCATCTCCCGCTGTCCCAAGTTCTCCACTCCTGTTTGGTTTTCCACAAGTCTGTTTGGTTTGAAGGATTCTGTTCATGGCAATGTGTTTTAAGGAAGGAAAATGTCAAAAAGCCCAGCTGAAAGATTCCAAACTCATTTCCTACAGGACCATCAGGCAGGATTAGAAATCTTTGGATTTGGGGTTTTGTGGGGTGGCTGCAGGTCCTGATGGTGTGGAGGAAATTCATCTTCAACAAGGTTTCACCAGTGCCTCTGGTTCTGAGCTGCCTGCCCCAAAACCTCTCCAGGTTTGGGGTGATTTCCAGAGGGCTGGGCTGTCAGTTACGGTTTTGAGGTTACAGTTTTTGCTTTTTCTACTGGGACAGTTGGAGAAGGAGTTGGATTCTTTGCATTTCTCCCATCCTCAGGTGAAGAACAAACCCTCGTCGTGCCTTAAATTCCAGCCTCCCTGCCAGGACAGGAATTTCGGCATCCATGCCAGGAGGAGCCCGGCTGTCCCTGGAAGGATTTGTGGCACGGGTGGGACACGGGGCCGAGCCCGCCGGGGCGTGGGGGCGCAGCCGTTCTCACCGGGGACAGCTGAACGTTGCATGAGGGTTTTGAGTTTTAAATGAACAAAATCCGTTCGTCGTCGGTTCTCTGTTAAACGGCGTTCGGCTTGGGCGGCAGCGTGCTCCGGTACCGGCAGCGTGCTCCGGTACCGACGGGGCGGGAGCAGGGAGAGGACGGGAACGGGACACGGGACAGGAATGGGACGGGGCGAGCGGGAAAGGGACGGGACAGGACGGGAATTAAATGGGACGAGCGGGAAAGGGACGGGAATAGGATGGGACATGGGACGAGTGGGAAAGGGACGGGACACGGGACAGGACCGGGAGTGGGATGAGACGAGCGGGAGAGGGACGGGAATGGGATGGGACCAGCGGGAAAGGGACGCGGGACACGGGACGGGACTGGAGCGGGAACGGGACAAGGGACAGGGTGGGACAAGCAGGAACGGGAACAGAATTTGAATTGGACTCGGAATGGGACACGGGACTGGATGGGACCGGAGCTGGGGACAGGAATGGGATGGGACACGGAACGGGACAAGAACCGCAACGGGACCGGACACGGAACGGGGATGGGCACGGAACGGGACAAGAACCGCAACGGGATACGGGACCGGACATAGAACGGAACGGGGACGGGCACGGAACGGGACAAGAACCGGAACGGGACACGGGACTGGACACAGAACGGGCCAAGACCCGGAACGGGACACGGCACCGGACACGGAACGGGACAAGAACTGGAACGGGACACAGGACCGGACACGGAACGGGACAAGACCCGGAACGGGACACAGGACCGGACACAGAATGGGCCAAGACACGGAACGGGACACGGGACGGGGATGGGCACGGAACGGGACAAGAACCGGAACGGGACACGGGACTGGACATGGAACGGGACAAGAACCGGAACGGGATACGGGACTGGACATGGAACGGGACAAGAATTGGAACGGGACACGGGACCGGACACGGAACGGGCCAAGACCCGGAACGGGACACGGGACCGGACACGGAACGGGCCAAGACCCGGAACGGGACTAAAACCGGAACGGGAGCGCGCCACGACACACGGGCGGGGGCGGAGCCACGCTCTGACTGACAGGCGCAAATCCCGCCCCTCGCCCCATCCTGGCTCGCTCATTGGCCGCTCCGCGCGGCGCGGGCTCCCATTGGCCGCGGGCGCGGCGGGGGCGGGGCCGGCGGGGGCAGGAAGCGGCGGCGGCCCCGCGGGGCTTTTCCTCCCGCGGCCGCGGAGCCGAACGGGGCGGGCGGAGCCGCGGGGGCACCGGGCGGAGCCGCGGTGAGGCCGGGCAGCCTTGGCAGCCCCCAGCGCTCGGGGAGGGGGCTACGGTTCACCCGCGGGGCGGGGGGGTGAGATGGACCGGGCCGGCACCGGGACCGGCACCGGGACCGACACCGGGAGGGGTGGGATGGAGCCCCGGGGGTGAGGCAGAACCGGGCCGCGGTTTGGAGGCGGAGTGGGGCTCGCTGACAGTGGGATGGGACCGTCCCCGGGTCGCTGGCGGGGGTGTGGGACCCGCCCGTGCGGCCTCAGGGGCTCTTCCCTGAGGGGTAATTTAAAATTATTTTAAAATTAGAAAATGAAGGTGTTTATAGCATGGCGTGGTTAAAGGGGATAGGCCAAAAAACACTGCACAGCCTGGGAGTGCCGCCGCCGTGGGGAGGGGGAGATGGAAATGCTGGGGTAGAAGGGATGAGAGCCCCCGGATTTGGGTCTGGGGGCTCGGGTTTGGGGTCTGGTTTGGGTCTGGGGGATTGGGTTTGGGTCTGGTTTGGGTCTAGGAGAGGGGTGGGTTAGGTCTGGGGGTGGGGATTTGGGTCTGGGGGCTCGGGTTTGGGGTCTGGTTTGGGTCTGGGGGCTTCGGTTTGGGTCTGGGGGCTTGGGTTTGGGTCAGGTTTGGATTTGGGGGATTAGGTTTGGATCTGGGGCTGGGGGTTTGGGTCTGGGGGTTCGGGTTTGGGTCTGGTTTGGGTCTGGGGGCTGGGGTTTGGGTCTGGGGCTCAGTTTTGGCTCTGGTTTGGGTCTGGGGGCTCAGGTTTGGGTCGGGTTTGGGTCTGGTTTGGGTTTGGGGGCTCGGGTTTGGGTCTGGGGGGTCTGGTTTGGGGCTGGGGGTGGGGGTTTGGGTCAGGTTTGGATTTGGGGGATTAGGTTTGGATGTGGGGCTGGGGGTTTGGCTCTGGTTTGGGTCTGGGGGCTCGGATTTGGGTCTGGTTTGGGTCTGGGGCTCAGGTTTGGCTCAGGTTTGGGTTTGGGGGCTCGGGTTTGGATCTGGGGGTTTGGGTCTGGTTTGGGTCTGGGGGCTCAGGTTTGGGTTGGGTTTGGATTTGGGTCTGGGGCTCGGTTTTGGCTCTGGTTTGGATCTGGGGGCTCAGGTTTGGGTTGGGTTTGGGTCTGGGGCTCAGGTTTGGCTCTGGTCTGGGTCTGGGGCTTGGTTTTGGCTCAGGTTTGGGTCTGGGGGCTGGGGCTTGGCTCAGGTGTGGGTCTGGGGTCTGGCCTGGCTCTGGGGGCTCAGGTTTGGCTCAGGTTTGGATTTGGGGTCTGGCCTGGCTCTGGGGGCTCGGTTTTAGCTCAGGTTTGGCTCTGGGGTCTCAGCACCGTGCCCCTGCCCCAGATGACCACGCTGACACACCGGGGCCGGCGGGCCGAGGGCCGCAGCACCGACAGGAGGGCGGAGGGCGAGGAGGAGGCGGCGGCGGACGGGGAGCTGAGCCAGGAGCACCCCGAGGACTCCAAGGACATCCGGCTCACCCTGATGGAGGAGGTGCTGCTCCTGGGGCTGAAGGACAAGGAGGTGAGGCAGGCTCGGGCCGGACTCGGGGCTCCTCTCAGGGAGCAGCAGGAGGGGCTGGATGGGTTCTGCTCAGTGCTCTGCCTTGGAACCTGCTGGGAGTCACAGAGATGGGATGGGGGCACAGGATTCACAGAGTGATGGGTTGGGGGCACAGGATTCACTGAATTCACAGAATTCCCAAAATGATGGGTTGGGGGTCACAGAATTCCCAGAGTGATGGAGTTGGGGTCAGAAAATTCCCAGAATGATGGGGTTGGGAGCACAGAATTCACAGATTGATGGGTTGGGGGCACAGAATTCACAGAATTCCCAAAGTGATGGGCTGGGGGCACAGAATTTATAGATTTCACAGAATGATGCCTTGAGGTCACAGAATTTACAGATTGATGGGTTGGGGTCTCCAAATTTACAGAATTCAGAGTGATGGGTTGTGGTCTCAGAATTCACAGAATTCCCAAAGCAATGGGTTGGGGTCACAGAATTTACAGAATTCCTAAATTGATGGGTTGGGGTCTCAGAATTCACAGATTGATGGGTTGGGGGTCACAGAATTCACAAAGTGATGGGGTTGGGGTCAGAAAATTCCCAGAATGATGGGCTGGGGTCTCAGAATTCACAGAATTCCCAAAGTGATGGGTTGGGGTCTCAGAATTCACAGAATTTACAGAGTGATGGGTTGGGGTCACAGAATTCCCAGAGTGATGGGGTTGGGGTCACAGAATTCACAGAATGATGAGTTGGGGTCACAGAATTCACAGATTGATGGGTTGGGGGCACAGAATTCACAGATTGATGGGGTTGGGGTCAGAAAATTCCCAGAATGATGGGTTGGGGTCACAGAATTTACAGAATTCACAGAGTAATGGGTTGGGAGCACAGAATTTACAGAGTGATGGGTTGGGGGTCTCAGAATTCACAGAGTGATTGGTTGGGGTCACAGATTTCACAGAGTGATGGGGTTGGGGTCAGAAAATTCCCAGAATGATGGGCTGGGGTCTCAGAATTCACAGAATTTACAGAGTGATGGGTTGGGGTCTCAGAATTCCTAAAGTGATGGTTTGGGGTCTTAGAATTCACAGAATTCCTAAATTGATGGGTTGGGGTCACAGAATTCACAGTGTGATGGGCTGGGGTCACAGAATTTACAGATTGATGGGTTGGGGTCACAGAATTTACAGATTGATGGGTTGGGGTCTCAGAATTCACAGAATTCCCAAAGTGATGGGTGGGGGTCACAGATTTCACAGAGTGATGGGTTGGAAGAAACCCTAAAGATCAACTCCAACACCCCAATAAACCTCACAGAGAGTTGGAAGGGGCTGTAAAGCTCAGCCTGTTGCAAACCCTCACCACGGGCAGGGCCACCTTCCCCCATCCACTGTCAGAAAATAAACATCCCTTTTTTTTCACTCACTAATAAGAATAACTCACATTTTACTTTCACGTGTCCTGTAGCGACAGAGCAGAGGGGAGGTTGTTTTTTCCGTGGGTAGAAGGAGTTTCAGGTGGTTTATCAAAGGGTGAACATCCTCCTCTGCCCCCCAAAGCAGCAGCTGGCACAGAGGGATGCTGAGCACTGCTCTGGTGTGGAAAAATTCATGTGGGAAAAGCAGAAGGAAGGGGCAAAGTGGGCTGGGCTGAGAGGTGTGGGTCTCAGATTCAGGCAAAGAAAGAAACTTGAGAGTTTCTAGCCTGGCAGAAAGGCTGGAGAGGAATGTAAATAATTCTCTTATCTCTTTCCCAGGTTTCTGCCTGGCTAGAAACTCTCAGTTTCTTTCTTTGCCTGAATCTGAGACCCACATTGAGGGAGCAGGAGCATGGGGCAGCTCCTCCTGTGTGCCTGTCACCCTGGAGGAAGGCAATTCTGCTCAAACAGAATTGATTTGTGCTTATCAGCCGCTGGGAGCTCATTTATCAGCTCTGCCTGGTGTTTCTGAGTCCTCTGAGCTGTCTGTGCTGTCCCTCTGCCTTGATTTCACCCCATCTTCTGCCTCAACTTGAGGAAAATCTTTGCCTGGGAGGGTGCTGGGGTCCTGGCACAGGTTATTCCATGGCTGCCCCATCCCTGGGAGTGTCCCAGGATGGGTTGGATGAGGTTTGGAGCATCCCTGGTGTGGTGGAACCTCTCCTTGCCATGACAGGGAATGGGATTTGTTGACCTTTAAGGTTCCTTCCAACTCAAACCATTCCAGAACTGTAAAATCTGCCATTCCTGAGGAGTGGATGGGGAATTGCAGGTGCCCAAAGTGGTTTTTGGGGTGACAGTGGCAGAGCAGAAACTTCTGCAGAGGCTTTCCAGGAATGCACTTTGGTCAAGGTTGGACTTGGTGACCGAATTATTCCATGATTTTCCAGCTGGAATTGTTCTGGGATTCCTGTGTGAGCCTCCTCCTCCTCTTCACTCCTCGAGGGTTGGAATTAAACCTTTGTGAGGTGCCTAAACTTCTTTTTTCCAGCATTTCTGGCTCGGTCCCAGCTCGTCCAGGGATCCAGCCCTGTGACAGTGACAAAGTTTGGGGTTGTCCCCGTTTGGGAGCCCCAGATAAAATCCAGCAGCCAACTAGGAAGTGACAGGAGCTCAGGGTTGTAAAAGGAAACAAAATGCAAACAATCCTGGAGCAAATATTTGAGAGTGGGGTGCCATGGGCTGTTTTTTTCCTCAGCTGTGTTCCTGGGAACGGCCCTTCAGCCAGCAGGAACCTGGCAGAGCACAACAAATACAGGAAAAAAAACCTTGTCACGCTTTTATTTCTTTTTTTTTTCCCCTTTCCATCCTGTCTTTCCACATTCCTGTAGCTCACAGAGGCAGCAGCAGCCTTGCCCTGAGCTGGGCTCTGTTTTTTTTCACTCATGCTTTGATGACTGGGGAAAAACAAGATCATTTTTGCCAAATTCAATGAGCTCACAGTGTAATTTCATTATTTAAAGTACCAGTCTGTCCATGTAGGAGGATCTGGCTGCAAACCAGTAACCAGTCTGATTCCAGAAGCTGGAAATAACCCAGGAGCTTTGGAATTTTAACATTTCCTTGGGGTAACTTGCCCTTGAGGCCAGGAAATTGAAACCTTTGCTCATCCTCACACCCTTTCCTGGAGAATTTGTTTGTAAAAGCCACGGGCAAAACCCAGGAGTGGAAACCAGGAGGGCAAAGGGATGAAAGGTTGCTTTGTCTTCCTGCACCAGGAAATGGAGAAAGCAAATAAAAAATTTCATTTATTTTATGGTACTTTATGCTGGCCAAGCCCAGTGGCCACGTGCCCTGCTCAAACAGAGCCACAGAGGACGAAAATTCACCTCTAAGGAGGGAAAAACCTTCCCAGGGGGTTCCCAACCTGTTTTTCTTGGGATGGGGCTCACTTTTTCTCCATTTTTTTCTCACTTTTTAGCTTTGAGGTCCTTCCCTCCCTGTTTTCCATCCAGAGAAAGAGCAGCAGAAAGGGAGGAAAGAAAGCAGCAGAAAGGAGGAAAAAGAAAAAAGAGCAGAAAGAGCAGCAGAAAGGGAGGAAAAAAAAGAGAAGAAAGAGCAGAAAGGGAGAAAAAAAAGAAGAAAGAGCAGCAGAAATGGAGGAAAAAAAGAGCAGAAAAGGAGGAACAAGAGAAAAAAGAGCAGAAAGGGAGGAAAAAGAAGAAAGAGGAGCAGAAAGGGAGGAACAAGAGAAAAAAGAGCAGAAAAGGGGGAGAAAAAAGAGAATAAAGGGAGGAAAAAGAGCAGTAAAAAGGGAGGAAAAAAGATAAGAAAAAGGAGCAGAAAGGGAGGGGAAAAAGAGCAGAAAGAGCAGCAGAAAGGGAAATTTGGAAATCTGGGAAGCTTTGGAGAAAAAGGAGCAGGAAAATTTGGAAATCTGGGAAGCTTTGGAGAGGCAGGAGCAGGGAAATGTGGAAATCTGGGAAGCTTTGGAGAGGAAGGAGTAGGGAAGTCTGGAAATTTGGGAGGGATTGGAGAGAGAGGAAATATGGAGAGACAGGGAAATACGAAATATGAAAATCTGGGAAGCTTTGGAGAAAAAGGAGCAGGGAAATTTGTAAGGTTTTGGAGAGACAGGAAATATGAAATATGAAAATCTGGGAAGATTTGGAGAGACAGGAGCAGGGAAATTTGGGAATATTTAGAAAGACAGGAGCAGGGAAATTTGGAAGGTTTTGGAGAGACAGGAAATATGAAATATGAAAATCTGGGAAGCTTTGGATAAAAAGGAGCAGGGAAATGTGGAAATCTGGGAGGGTTTGGATAGAAAGGAGCAGGGAAATTTGGGAAGCTTTGGAGAGACAGGAGTAGGGAAATATGAAAATCTGGGAAGCTTTGGAGAGAAAGGAGTAGGGAAATTTGGGAATATTTAGAAAGACAGGAGCAGGGAAATCTGGGAAGCTTTGGAGAGACAGGAGTAGGGAAATATGAAAATCTGGGAAGGTTTGGGGACAGAAGCAGGGAAATTTGGGAATATTTAGAAAGACAGGAGCAGGGAAATCTGGGAGGGTTTGGAGAGACGGGAGTAGGGAAATGGGGAAATCTGGGAGGGTTTGGATAGAAAGGAGCAGGGAAATTTTGGAGAGACAGGAGTAGGGGAATGTGGAAATCTGGGAGGGTTTGGAGACAGGAGCAGGGAAATCTGGGAGGGTTTGGAGAGACAGGAGTAGAGGAATATGAAAATCGGGGAGGGTTTGGAGACAGGAGCAGGGAAATTTGGGAATGTTTAGAAAGACAGGAGCAGGGAAATCTGGGAACCTTTGGAGAGACAGGAGTAGGGAAATATGGGAATATTTAGAAAGGCAGGAGCAGGGAAATTTGGGAATATTTAGAAAGACAGGAGCAGGGAAATATGGGAGGCTTTGGAGATCCTTTGGATCCTTTGGATTCTGGGCAGGATCCAGGAAGGATGAGAAGCAGAAGAGGAGGAAAATTGTCCCAAAATCCTTCCCCATCGTGTCCCACAGGGCTACACGTCCTTCTGGAACGACTGCATCTCCTCGGGGCTGCGCGGAGGGATCCTGATCGAGCTGGCGCTGCGCGGCCGCATCCGCCTGGAGCCGCCCGCCCTGCGGAGGAAGAGGCTGCTGGAGAGGAAGGTCAGGCTGCTCAGTCTGCTGGGAAAAGCCAAATTTTGATTTAAAGGTCGTGGGAGATACAGGGAATAAAGCAGAAATGCAAACGGCATCTTTATAGCAAAGATACTCTAATATTGCACGGATAAAATTCAATTTAACACTCGCAAAAAGCCAAATTAGAATATGTCTATAACACATATCAGCTGTCACTAAGCTTAATTAACAACTAGAAATACAAATTACATCTTTATAACGAAGTGAATTTAACATTACACATATAAAATCCAATTTAATATTTGCAAAAAGCCAAATTATAATATGTCTGTAACACATACTAATAGCAGCTATTTTACGAAGCTTAATTAACTATAGAAATAAAACAGTTACTTTACAAAGTAAACTTTACAAAGTTTATAACAAAGTTACTGTAACATTACACATATAAAATCCATTTTAATATTTATGAAATGCCAATATATAATTATAATATTCTATTGCTATATATTGTAATGATATATTAATATGATCTGTAATATATTATATGTAATACATTATATACTTTATTAGCATTAATATATAATATTCTATAGGAAATAATATAATGTAATATAATATTATGATGTAATATTAATATGTAAATGTAATATATTATGTTATGTTAATGATAATATAATATAATATAATATAATATAATATAATATAATATAATATAATATAATATAATATAATATAATATAATATAATATAATATAATATAATATAATATAATATAATATAATATAATATAATATCCCCAACAATAATATAATATAATATAATATAATATAATATAATATAATATAATATAATATAATATAATATAATATAATATAATATAATATAATATAATATAATATAATATAATATAATATAATATAATATAATATAATATAATATAATATAATATAATATAATATATAGGGTTATATCATATTATATATGTAATATTATACTATTATATAATTGTAGTGTTATATTATTATATGATTGTAATGTTATATTATATATCATGTTATATTATTATATAATTATGTTATATTATTTATACATTATAATATTTTTTATCCCTTATATTGTGCATCATATTGTGCTATATTATTATATAATTACAATGTTATATATGTTATTATATAATAATCATACAAAATGACAATATTTTAATATTCTATATTAATATTAAATTTAAATTTTCATTATTATTAAAACAATATTAAATTACTATTTTTATTAAATTAATATTATTATGTTTATTAAAGAAAAAATTTAAAAATTTATAAATATTAAATTAAAAATGAAATGAAAATAATTCCATTTGAATATTCCATCCCTTGTCTCCGGGCAGGTGCTGCTGAAGTCGGACGCTCCCACCGGGGACGTGCTGCTGGACGAGACCCTCAGGCACATCAAGGCCACCGAGCCAGCAGAGACGGTGCAGAGCTGGATCGAGCTGCTCACGGGTAGGGCCAGCTGGAGATCCCACCCCAGGTCCCACCAGGCCTGTCCAAACATCCCTCAGACCCACCAAAATCCATCCAGGAGCTCATCAGGGAGCCCCAAAACCAGCCTGGACCTTCAAATCCCTCCAAAACCCTCTCAAAGCCCATCCAAACATCCTCCAGACCCACCAAAATCCATCCAGGATCTTGTGAAGGAGCCCCAAAATCAACCTGGACCTTCTAACACCCCTCCAACTTGTCCAGACCTTTCCCAGACCCACCAAAATCCATCCAGGATGTCGTGAGGGAGCCCCAAAACTGCCCTGGATCCTCAGATTCCTCCAGGCCTGTCCAAACCTCCCCCAGACTCACCAAAATCCATCCAGGATGTTGTGAGGGAGCCCCAAAATCAGCCTGGACCTTCAAATCCCTCCAAAACCCTCTCAAAGCCCATCCAAACCTCCACCAGGCCCATCAAAATCCATCCAGAATCTCGTGAGGGAGCCCCAAAAACAACCTGGACCTTCTAACACCCCTCCAACTTGTCCAGACCTTTCCCAGACCCACCAAAATCCATCCAGGATCTCATGAGTGAGCCCCAAAATCAACCTGGACCTTCAAATCCCTCCAAAACCCCTCTCAAAGCCCATCCAAACCTCCACCAGACCCACCAAAATCCATCCAAGATCTTGTGAGGGAGCCCCAAAACCAACCTGGACCTTCTAACACCCCTCCAGGCTTGTCCAAACCTTCCCCAGCCCCACCAAAATCCATCCAGGATCTCATGAGTGAGCCCCAAAATCAACCTGGACCTTCAAATCCCTCCAAAACCCTCTCCAGGCCTGTCCAAACCTTCCCCAAAGCCACCAAAATCCATCCAGGATCATCCAGACCTCCAGGATCTGGTGGTGAGGGAACCCTAAAAAGAGGAGGAAGGATTTTGGGGATCCCCAGTAGGATTTGGGTCCCCTGGGAAGGATTTTGGAGGATCTCAGGTAGGATTTGGGTCTCCTGGGAAGGATTTTGGAGGATCTCAGGTAGGATTTGGGTCTCCTGGAGTGGATTTTGGGGATCCCCAGTAGGATTTGGGTCTCCTGGAGTGGATTTTGGGGATCTCCAGTAGGATTTGGGTCTTCTGGGAAGGATTTTGGAGGATCTCAGGTAGGATTTGGGTCTCCTGGAGTGGATTTTGGGAATCCCCAGCAGGATTTGGGTCTCCTGGGAAAGATTTTGGAGGATCTCAGGTAGGATTTGGGTCTCCTGGGAAGGATTTTGGAGGATCTCAGGTAGGATTTGGGTCTCCTGGGAGGGATTTTGGGGGATCTCAGGTAGGATTTGGGGCTCCTGGAGTGGATTTTGGGGATCCCCAGTAGGATTTGGGTCTCCTGGGAAGGATTTTGGAAGATCTGAGGTAGGATTTGGGGCTCCTGGAGTGGATTTTGGGAATCCCCAGTAGGATTTGGGTCTCCTGGGAAGGATTTTGAGGGATCTCAGGTAGGATTTGGGTCTCCTGGGAAAGATTTTGGAAGATCTGAGGTAGGATTTGGGGCTCCAGGGGAAAATTTCCAGATCTTCTGGAGGATTTTGAGGGAAGCATTTTGGAGGATCCAAATGCTGAGGTCTCACCAAGCCTGGGGTGATCCATGGGTGGAAGAGGCTTTGGAAAAGGATGGGATTTGTCTGGGATTTCTCCTCAAAACTCCACTGGGAGCTTTTCCAGGAGAGTCTGAGTCAGACCAAGGGATCAGAGCCAGGTGTCCATGTCCCACCATCATGGAAGGGTGGAAGGATGGAAGCCCTGGAGATGGGGGGAGCAGGGAAAGGCAGAATGTGTGAGCAGAGAAGAATTTTCTGGGGGTGTTCTGCTGGGAGCTTGGTGGAAATCTTGGACCTCAGAGCTCCTGTGGCAGAGCCCGGTGTCCATGCAGGACATCATGGAAGGGTGGAAGGATGGAAGCCCTGGAGATCCCTGGAGATCCCTGGGGATCCCTGGAGATCCCTGGAGATGGGGGGAGCAGGGAAAGGCAGAACGTGTGAGCAGAGAAGAATTTTCTGGGGATGTTCTGCTGGGATCTCAGTGGAAATCTTGGACCTCAGAGCTCCTGTGGCAGAGCAAGATGTCCATGGAGGACATCATGGAAGGGTGGAAGAACATTGAGATTGCCCAACAAACCTTGACCAGATCTTCCCACCCCTCAGGAGAGACCTGGAACCCCTTCAAGCTGCAGTACCAGCTGCGCAACGTGCGGGAGCGCCTGGCCAAGGCTCTGGTGGAGAAGGGCATCCTGACCACGGAGAAGCAGAACTTCCTCCTCTTCGACATGACCACCCACCCCGTCAGCAACGCCTCCGAGAAGCAGCGGCTGCTGAAGAAGCTCCAGGAGAGCGTCCTGGAGCGTTGGGTCAACGAGCCCCAGCGCATGGAGCGCAGGACTCTGGCTCTGCTGGTGCTGGCCCACGCCTCCGACGTGCTGGAGAACGTTTTTGGAAGCCTGGCCGACGACAAGTACGACGTGGCCATGAACAGGACCAAGGACCTGCTGGATATGGACCCTGAGGTGGAAGCTGCCAAAGGCAAGGGCACGGAGATGATCTGGGCCGTGCTGGCGGCTTTCAATAAGTCCTAAACTTCTCCTCACGTGGGGTGGTGGAGAACCTTGGTGGGTCCCATCATGGTGTCCCACCACAAGGTCTCCCCAGAAGGACCTGGAACTGGAAGCTGTCAAAAGCAAGGGTACAGAGATGATCTGGGCTCTGCTGGTGGCCTCCAATAAGTCCTAAACTTCTCCTCACGTGGGGTGGGGGAGATCCTTGGTGGGTCCCATCATGGTGTCCCACCCAGAGGTCTCTGCAGAAGGACTTGGGGCTGAAAGCTGCCACAGGCAGGGCCACGGAGATGATCTGGGCCGTGCTGGTGGCCTCCAATAAGTCCTAAACTTTTCCTCACATGAAGTGGTGGAGAACCTTGATGGGTCCCATCATGGTGTCCCACCACAGGGTCTCCCCAGAAGGACTTGGGGCTGAAAGCTGCCAAAGGCAGGGCCATGGAGATGATCTGGGTCGTGCTGGCGGCTTTCAATAAGTCCTAAACTTCTCCTCACATGGGGTGGTGGAGAACCTTGATGGGTCCCATCATGGTGTCCCACCACAGGGTCTCCCCAGAAAGACTTGGAGGTGGAAGTTGCCACAGGCAGGGCCATGGAGATGATCTGGGCCGTGCTGGCGGCTTTCAATAAGTCCTAAACTTCTCCTCACGTGGGGTGGTGGAGAACCTTGGTGGGTCCCATCATGGTGTCCCACCACAGGGTCTCCCCAGAAGGACCTGGAATTGGAATCTGCCACAGGCAGGGCCATGAAAATGATCTGGGCTCTGCTGGCGGCCTCCAATAAGTTCTAAACTTCTCCTCACATGAGGTGGTGGAGAACCTTGATGGGTCCCATCATGGTGTCACACCACAGGGTCTCCCCAGAAAGACTTGGAGGTGGAAGTTGCCAAAGGCAGGGCCATGGAGATGATCTGGGCTGTGCTGGTGGACTCCAACAAGTTCTAATCTTCTCCTCAGATTAGGTGGTGGAGAACCTTGATGGGTCCCATCATGGTGTCCCACCCCAGGCTCTCCCCATGGACCTCCTGGGGCACTGGGTGGGCTCAGCTTGGGGAGGGACAGGGGATTTTGCTTTTTCCCCTCCCCAGGTAGGGCTGGGAGGTGAGAACTTCCCACCACCACCACCACCACCACCACCACCACCATGGTCCTTGGAGAGGTTGGCAGCAGCTCTTCACTCCTTGCCCTTGGGCATTTCCTTCTGAGGCCAGTGCGGAGCCAGGGGTGGCACAGTCGGGGTGGCACAGCCATGGTGGCACATCTGGGGTGACACAGCCATGGTGGCACAACCAGGGGTGGCCCAGGAGCTGCTCCAAGAGGCCAAACCCTGGCACAAAGGGGCTGGGACAACTCCTGGCTGCCTCTCCCACAGCCAGGACCAGCCTGGGAGCTCTGGGGGTGTCACCTGGGGTGGCTTTGGGGGGTGTTGGGTCACCCCCAACGCTGTCACCCAAAGCTCCTCCAGATGTCTCCATGCAGGAGCCCCCCGGGCTGTGCCCCCATGGCTCAGCTGCTTTTTTAGGAAGAAACCAAGTGAAACTGTGATTATTTCTGTTCACAACCCCCTCCCTTCCTTCCTCCCCGACTTTATCCTCCTGTAGATCACTTAAAACTCAATTATTTCAATTATTTCTCTGCAGCCCAGGGCTCTGTCCGTGTTTCAGTGGGGGCATTTCGAGGGGCACTGGCGGGGCTCGGGAGGGGCGGGATGTGCCAGGGATGTCCCGGTGACATGAGCTCCCTCCTCCCCCGTGCCCCGTTCCCTCCCCGGGGTGGTTTCGGGGCTCTCCGGTGTCCCCGCATCCCCCGGTCCCGCATCCTCCCAGCCCCGGTCTCGAACCCGCGGTGCTCCGGTACCGCGAAAGCCACGCCCCTTTCCCCGCCCATTTCCCCGCCTACTCGCCTTTTCTCGCTTTCTATTGGCCGCTGCTTGTGCCAGTCATTCATGCCCCGCCCCCTTTAAATACCCCGCCTTTCCCGCTCACTGATTGGTCAGGTGTGATGTCACCGCGGCCGAACCTCTGCGTTCATTGGGCAGAGCTGCTGTCATTCACACAGCTGAGGCAGTGGAGGCGGTGGCGGCCATTTTGGAGCAGGGCGCGGGGCCGGACGCAGCGGAGGGAGCGCGGAGCCTCCCTCGCCGCCATGGCAGCTCCGCTCGGTACCGGCGCCTTCACGGAGGAGACCGGGCGGGACAAACAGGTGGGGGGACCCCCGGTGGGGAGGAACGAGATGTCGGGCGGGTCGGCTGCACGTCCCTCTTTCCAGTCCTAAGCGGCGATTGGTTGTTTCTGTTGTCCGTCTGGCGAATACCGGGCGTTGATTGGCTACGGTGGTTGGGGGTGGGCGGGACTTCCTGCTTGGGGTCAATGGCGGCGTGGGGTCGGTGGGGAGGGATGAGGGGACCGGGATGGGACCGGGATGGGATGAGGGGACCGGGATGGGACCGGGAGGGGACCGGGAGGGGACCGGGATGGGACCGGGATGGGCGGAATTGGGGTGGGAGGGCGCTGGGAGCTGAGGGGAGCACTCAGAGATGCTGGGATGGTTTCAGGGGACATTTGGGTGCTGCTGTCAGATTCCCCTGACCCTAAAATCACATTTAGAAACCCCAAAAACTCCCCAGGATCCCCAAAATCCTGCTTGGAATTCCCAAAATCCTCCCCAGGATCCCCAAAATCCTCCTTGGAATTCCTGAAATCCTCCCCAGGATCCCCAAAGTCTATCTGGGAGCACCAAAATCCTTCCCAGGATCCCCAAATTCTACCTGAGATCCTCCAAAATCCTCCCCAGGATCCCCAAATTCTACCTGAGATCCTCCAAAATCCTCCCCAGGATCCCCAAAATCCTCCCCAGGATCCCCAAATTTTACCTGAGATCCTCAAAATCCTTCCCAGGATCCCTAAAATCCTGCTTGGGATTCCTGAAATCTTCCCCAGGATCCCCAAATCCAACCTGGGAGCACCAAAATCCTCCTTAGGGTCCCCAAAATCCTTCCCAGGATCCCAAAATCCTCCCCAGGATCCCCAAATTTTACCTGAGATCCTCCAAAATCTTCCCCAGGTGCCCCAAATCCGACCTGGATTTTTATTTAATAAAGAAAAGTAAATGCAAATGAATCATGTAATAAATAATGTGAATTTTAGTTAATAAATAAACATTTGAATAATTAATAAATGTAAATTAGTAACGTAATAAATAATATAAATTTTATTTAGTAAATGTTTAATTGACAAATGTGAATTAATAATGTAATAAATAATATAAATTTTGCTTATTAGCTAATTTTTTTATTTAATTAATAAATGTAAATGCAAATTAATCATGTAACAAATAATACACATTTTATTCAATAAGTAAATTTTAATTTTCTTCAATAAATACATTTTATTAAATAAATAATTACTAACGTAACTAATATAAATTTTATTTAATAAATTTTATTTAATAAATAAATTTAAATTCAAATAAATAATGTAACAAGTAATGTAAATTTTGTTTAATAAGTAAAATTTAATTGAATTAATCATTCAACAAAATGTACATTTTATTTAATAAATTTTTATTTAATAAATTTAAATTCAAATTAATAATGTAACAAATAATGTAAATTTTTTTTATTTTATTTTATTTAACAAATACGTTTTAATTCAATGAATTATGTAGTGAACAATGTAAATTTAATTTAATAAATAATTTTTAATTTCTCTCCAGGCTGCCCAGCCAGAACCCGGGGCCGAGCCCAAGGGGAAATACCCCGGGCTGGGGCTGAGGCCGGGAGGGGCAGAGTTCCTCATGAGGAGGCTGCAGAAAGGGGTGAGTGTCCCCAAAAAATGGGGAAAATTGGGTAAAAATTGGGTGAAAATGGGAAAAAGAAACTGAGGGAAAAAAAAGAGGAAAACTGGGGAAAAAAACGGGGGGAAAATGGGAAAAAATGGGGGAAAATGGAGAAAAAATGGGGAAATAATGGGGGAAAAAATAGGGGAAAATGGGAAACCAGAGGGGAAAAAATGGGAGGGAAATGGGGAAAAAAAATCGGGGAAAAACTGGGGGAAAAACTGGGAATCCTGGGGGGGGGGGAATGGAAAAACATGGCAGAAAAATGGGGGGGGAATGGGAAAAAATGGGGGGAAAATGGGAAACCTGATGGAAAGAATGGGGAAAAACTGGGGGCAAAATGGGGAAAAACTAGGAAAAAATGTGGGGAAATGGGAAAAAATGGGAAAAAATGGTGGAATAAAAGTCCTGCCTCTGTAGGCCTGGTTTATCATCCCATAAATCCTGGTTTATCATCCCAAAGTTCCTGGCTCTGCTGGGAGGGGTCAGCAGGTGTGATCCCACCAAATCCCACAGGTGTGATCCCAAATCCCACTGGTGTGGTCCCAAATCTCACAGGTGTGATCCCAAATCTCACAGGTGTGATCCAAAATCCCACTGGTGTGATCCCAGATCTCACTGGTGTGATCCCAAATCCCACTGGTGTGATCCCAAATCTTGCTGGTGTGATCCCAGATTTGGAAAGTGTGATCCTAAATCTCACAGGTGTGATCCCAAATCTCACTGGTGTGATCCCAGATTTGGAAAGTGTGATCCTAAATCTCACAAGTGTGATCCCAAATCTGGCAGTGTGATCCCAGATTTAGAAAGAGTGACCCCATACTTGGCAGGTGTGATCCCAAATCTGGAAAGTGTGATCCCAAATCCCACTGGTGTCATCCCAAATCTGGAAAGTGTGATCCCAAATCTGGAAAGTGTGATTTCCAGCTCTGCCAGACTTGATCCCAGCTCTCACAGATGTGATCCCAAATCTCACAGATGTGATCCCAAATCTCACTGGTGTGATCCCAGATTTGGAAAGTGTGATGCCAGCTCTGGCAGTGTGATCCCAGCTCTGGTGCCAGGCTGATCCCGGCTCTGCCAGGCTGATCCCATCTCTGCCAGGCCGATCCCATCTCTGCCAGGCTGATCCCAGCTCTGCCAGGCTGATCCCAGCTGTGCCAGGCTGATCCCAGCTCTGCCAGGCTGATCCCAGCTCTGCCAGGCTGATCCCAGCTCTGGTGCCAGGCTGATCCCGGCTCTGCCAGGCTGATCCCAGCTCTGGTGCCAGGCTGATCCCATCTCTGCCAGGCTGATCCCGGCTCTGCCAGGCTGATCCCAGCTCTGGCAGTGTGATCCCAGCTCTGCCAGGCTGATCCCAGCTCTGCCAGGCTGATCCCAGCTCTGCCAGGCTGATCCCAGCTCTGCCAGGCTGATCCCAGCTCTGGGAGGCTGATCCCAGCTCTGCCAGGCTGATCCCAGCTCTGGGAGGCTGATCCCAGCTCTGCCAGGCTGATCCCAGCTCTGGTGCCAGGCTGATCCCGGCTCTGCCAGGCTGATCCCAGCTCTGCCAGGCTGATCCCAGCTCTGGTGCCAGGCTGATCCCAGCTCTGCCAGGCTGATCCCAGCTCTGCCAGCCTGATCCCAGCTCTGCCAGCCTGATCCCAGCTCTGGTGCCAGGCTGATCCCAGCTCTGCCAGGCTGATCCCAGCTGTGCCAGGCTGATCCCGGCTCTGCCAGGCTGATCCCAGCTCTGCCAGGCTGATCCCATCTCTGCCAGGCTGATCCCAGCTCTGGCAGTGTGATCCCAGCTCTGCCAGGCTGATCCCAGCTCTGCCAGCCTGATCCCAGCTCTGGTGCCAGGCTGATCCCAGCTCTGGTGCCAGGCTGATCCCAGCTCTGCCAGGCTGATCCCAGCTGTGCCAGGCTGATCCCAGCTCTGCCAGGCTGATCCCATCTCTGCCAGGCTGATCCCAGCTCTGGCAGTGTGATCCCAGCTCTGCCAGGCTGATCCCAGCTCTGCCAGGCTGATCCTAGCTCTGGTGCCAGGCTGATCCCAGCTCTGGTGCCAGGCTGATCCCAGCTCTGGTGCCAGGCTGATCCCAGCTCTGCCAGGCTGATCCCAGCTCTGCCAGGCTGATCCCAGCTCTGCCAGGCTGATCCCATCTCTGCCAGGCTGATCCCAGCTCTGGTGCCAGGCTGATCCCGGCTCTGCCAGGCTGATCCCAACATCCCAGCTGTTCCTGACCCCTGGCACCGTCGCTTTGTGCCAGGGCTGAGGGGTCAGGGCTCTCCCGGCAGGCGAAGGTCGGGCAGAGGCAGCTCAGTGTGCCAGAGGTGCCCTGAGTCAGCCCCGGGCTGGGCGAGCCCCTGGCTGCAGGCCAGAGATTTGTAAACCCGGCCTAACCCTGCCTGGATCTCCCCATGGCCGGGTTCAGAGCAATCCCAGTGCGCCCTGAAGGGTCCCAAACACCCAATCCCAAACCTGCACACGCAATCCCTGCTCCTGCACACCCAATCCCAAATCCTGCACACCCAATCCCTGCTCCTGCACACCCAATCCCAAATCCTGCACACCCAATCCCAAATCCTGCACACCCAATCCCTGCTCCTGCACACCCAATCCCAAACCTACACACGCAATCCCCTGGTCTTGCACACCCAATTCCTGCTCCTGCACACCCAATCCCTGCTCCTGCACACCCAATCCCAATCCCAAATCCTGCACACGCAATCCCTGCTCCTGCACACCCAATCCCTGCTCCTGCACACCCAATCCCAAATCCTACACACGCAATTCCTGCTCCTGCACACCCCATCCCAAATCCTGCACACCCAATCCCAAATCCTGCACACCCCATCCCAAATCCTGCACACCCAATTCCTGCTCCTACACACCCAATCCCAAATCCTACACACCCAATCCCAAATCCTGCACACCCAATCCCAATCCCAAATCCTGCACACCCAATCCCAATTCCCAATTTAGCCCTCTCCAAGGGATCCTCGTGGCTCTGCTGTTCCCCTGCTCCTAAACACCCAATCCCAAATCCGGCACACCCAATCCCAATTCCAATCCCAATTTAGCCCTTCCCTAAAGGATCCTCGTGGCTCTGCTGTTCCTCTGCTCCTGCACACCCAGTCCCAAATCCTGCACACCCAATCCCAATCCCAACTCTTGCATTCCCAATCCCAATTTAGCCCTCCCTAAAGGATCCTCATGGCTCTGCTGTTCCTCTGCTCCTAGACACCCAATTCCAATCCCAATCCCAACTCCTGCATTCCCAATCCCAATTTATCCCTTCCTAAAGGATCCTCATGGCTCTGCTTTTTCCCCTGCTCCTGCACACCCAACTCCAATCCCAGTCCCAACTCCTGCACTCCCAATCCCAATTCAGCCCTCCCTAAAGGATCCTCTGATCCCAAATCCCACAGGTGTGATCCCAAATCTCACAGGTGTGATCCTGTTCCCCTCCTCCTGCACACCCAGTCCCAATCCCAATTTATCCCTTCCCTAAAGGATCCTCGTGGCTCTGCTGTTCCCCTGCTCCTGCACACCCACCAACCCAAACATTTCTCCCTCTTCCAGCAAAAATACTTCGATTCTGGCGACTACAACATGGCCAAGGCCAAGATGAAGAACAAGCAGCTGCCAAGTGCAGGACCTGACAAGAACCTGGTGACAGGAGACCACATCCCCACGCCCCAGGACCTGCCCCAGAGGAAATCCTCACTGGTCACCAGCAAGCTGGCAGGGTAGCTGCCCTCTCAGCTGGGGGCTGACCTCTTTTTTCTCTTTTTTTGGGTTTTTTTTTGGCTAAATGGATTGAACTTCACTGTACCATAGGGGTGGGAGCACCAGAATCCACGTGGTTGTTTGAGTCTTTCCAGCAAACGCACCCCAAAGCTGAGTGGGGGGCAGGGTTGGGTTGGTCCTTCCCCTCAGAGAGGCTTTGCCTTAATTTTGCTGCTGTTTGGAACCATCCTGGCTCCCCCTGGAGCTCTGCAGCCTGGCTGGGAGAGCCCCAGGAGGGGCAGGGAGGGGAGAGAGGGCAGGGCTGAGGTGTGGGATGGGATTTCAGGGGTTGGGGTCACAGAGACTGAGGCAGCTGGGCAGGAGGAGTGACCCCAGATCCCACAGGAGTGATCCCAGATCTCACAGGAGTGATCCCAGATCCCACAGGAGTGATCCCAGATCCCACAGGAGTGATCCCAAATCTCACAGGAGTGATCCCAAACCTGGAAAGAGATCCCAAACCTGGCAGATGTGATTCCAAAGCTGGCAGGTGTGATCCCAGACCTGGAAATTATGATCCCAGATTTGAAAAGTGTGATTTCAGATCTGGAAAGAGATCCCAGACCTGGCAGGTGTGATCCCAGACCTGGAAATAGTGATCCCAGATTTGGGAAGAGTGATTCCAGTTTTGGAAAGTGTGATCCCAGATATAGAAAGTGTGATTTCAGATCTGGAAAGACATTCCAGACCTGGAAATTATGATCCCTGCTCTGGAAAGAGTGATCCCAGATCTCACAGGAGTGATCCCAGCTTTGGAAAGAGTGATCCCAGATTTGGAAAGTGTGATTTCAGATCTGGAAAGAGATCCCAAAGCTGGCAGGTGTGATTCCAAAGCTGGCAGGTGTGATCCCAGACCTGGAAATTATGATCCTAGATTTGAAAAGTGTGATTTCAGATCTGGAAAGAGATTCCAGACCTGGAAATTATGATCTCAGATTTGGAAAGAGTGATCCCAGATTTGGAAAGAGTGATCCCAGATCTGGAAAGAGTGATCCCAGATTTAGAAAGTGTCATTTCAGATCTGGAAAGAGATCCCAGACCTGGCAAGAGTGATCCCAAACTTGGAAAGAGTGATCCCAGATTTGGAAAGAGTGATCCCAGATTTGGAAAGAGTGATCCCAGACCTGGAAACTATGATCCCAGATTTGGAAAGTGTGATCCCAGATATAGAAAGTGTGATTTCAGATCTGGAAAGAGATCCCAGACCTGGAAATTATGATCCCAGGTTTGGAAAGAGTGATCCCAGACCTGGAAAGAGTGATCCCAGATTTGGAAAGAGTGATCCCAGATATAGAAAGTGTGATTTCAGATCTGGAAAGAGATCCCAGTCCTGGAAATTACGATCCCAGCTCTGGAAAGAGTGATCCCAGCTTTGGCAGGTGTGATCCCTGATCTGGAATGAGTGATCCCAGACCTGGAAATGATGATCCTAGGTTTGGAAAGAGTGATCCCAGATTTGGAAAGTGTGATTTCAGATCTGGAAAGAGATCCCAAACCTGGAAATTATGATCCCAGACCTGGAAATTATTATCCCAGCTCTGGAAAGAGTGATCCCAGATCTCACAGGTGTGATCCCAGATCTGGAAAGAGTGATCCCAGACCTGGAAATTATGATCCCAGCTCTGGAAAGAGTGCTCCCAGCTCTGAAGGCACACTCAGCTGTGTGCTTTAGAGCTCCAAAGCGCCGAAATTGAGCTGAAAACACAATTCCAGGGGGGTGTTGCTGAGCTGAGCTGCTGGGATCTGCCCCTGCCTCAGCTCACAGCGTGTCCAGAGGGTTTGGGAGAGGCTTTGGGCAGTGCTGGAAACATCCTTGTGCTGGTTTGGGCTGAATTAACACCAATTAACACCAATATCACAACAAAAAAATCCAAATTAACACCAATATCACAACAAAAAATCCAAATTTAACACCAATATCACAACAAAAAAATCCAAATTAACACCAATATCACAACAAAAAATCCAAATTAACACCAATATCACAACAAAAAATCCAAATTAATGAATTTTTCCTGCTGTGCCAGGGCATCCCAAACCCTGCCCCAGTTTTTGGGGTCAAAGGAAGGGATTGAGGAGTGAGGAATTCCCGGGCAGGGTTGTGTTCCTGCTCACCTGGGCGTTCCCTGGGGACCTTTGTGTGTCACCTGTGTCACCTCCCTGTGTTTACCCAGGGTGTGCTGGAATGTGGCGCTGCCTTCAGGTGGTTCCTGCATCCTCCTTGGTCACTTTCTGCGAGGTTGGCACAAATTATGATTATTATGATTATTATGATTATTATGATTATTATTATGGCTGTCCCTTGTCCCCAACAGGGTCCTGATGTGGCATTTTCCAACCCCTTTGTGACACGCTGGGACAGTGGCTGCAAACCCTCCTTGGGTTGTAAATAGATAAAAATATATTTAAAACAAAAAAAAAAAATATATATATATAAATTTTTTACATGTTTGCCTCTTCTGGGTTGCCGTGCTTGCTTTTTTTTTTATTCGACCCCAAAAGGGGAAATAAAACCCAAAAGAGGAAATAAAAGGGAAGGATGCAAAGGAGGCATTGCTGCTGTGGGGCTGTCCCTGTGCTGGGGGGGCAGAGGGAGGGGACAGCCCCAAAATGTGTGGGGACAACCCCTAAAGTTATAGGGACAGCCCCAAATATGTGGGGACTGCCCCCAAATGTGTGGGGACAGCCCCCAAATTGTGGGGACAACCCCTAAATTTATGGGGACAGCCCTCAAATTGTGGGGACAGCCCCTAAAGTGAGGGGACAGCCCCAAAATGTGTGGGGACAGCCCCCAAAACATGTGGGGACAACCCCTAAATTTAAGGGGACAGCCCCAAATGTGTGGGGACAGCCCCCCAACCATATGGGGACCCCCAAATATGTGGGGACAGCTCCAAAATGTGGGGACACCCCCAAAATGTGTGGACAGCCCCTAAATTGTGGGGACACCCCCCAAAATGTGTGGGGACACCCCCAAATGTGTGGGGACAGCTCCAAATTGTGGGGACACCCCCAAAATGTGTGGGGACAGCCCCCCAACCATATGGGGACCCCCAAATATGTGGGGACAGCCCCCAAATATGTGGGGACAGCCCCCAAATATGTGGGGACACCCCCAAAACGTGTCCAGCCCCATTCTCTGTCCCCACCGGGGGGTTCCACCTTTGGGTTTTTTTCAGCCTTGACCTTTCCCCAGCCCCACCTTTCCTTCCCCTGGAGAAGCTCCCAGGACTCTTTGGATTCCCCAAAAATTGGGAATTCCCAAGCTCTGGAGCCCACACGGATCCTGCCAGGGACAAGTTGTTCCAGCCTGGTGTTTGTGCTCAAATTTGGCACCGATTCCCAAAAAAAAAAAATGTGCTGGGTGCTGCCAGAGCTCCTTGTTCCTGCTCCTGCTGCCAAGAATTCTCTTCCCACAAGGACACATTCCTTGGGGCCACGGGAAGGATTTTCAGAGGGACGAATTTTTATCCTGCTGGACACCCCCCCCAGCCAGCTCTGGTTTGGGGGGATGGGATCTGGGGACCCCAAATGCAAAATTTGGATCTGGGACGTCTCCAGGGTACGGGGATGGGGCTGTGCTCACCGCAGGCTGCTCCAAAAACAGAGCAGTGGTGCTCAGGGGCTTGGATTTGTCATATTTTGTCCTAATTTGTCCCCAAAAATTCTGCCCAGGGGGGTGGCAGTGCTCCAAAAACAGCAGTGGTGCTCAGTGGGCTTGGATTTGTCACATTTTGTTCAAATTTGTCCCCAAAAATGCTGGCCAGGGAGGTGGCAGTGCTCCAAAAACAGAATAGTGAGGCTCAGTGGAATTGGATTTGTCACATTTTGTCCTCAAAAATTCTGCCCAGGAGGGTGGCATTGCTCCAAAAACAGAACAGTGATGCTCAGGGGCTTGGATTTGTCACATTTTGTCCCCAAAAATGCTGGCCAGAGAGGTGGCAGTGCTCCAAAAACAGAATAGTGATGCTCAGTGGGCTTGGATTTGTCACATTTTGTCCCCAAAAATGCTGGTTAGGAGGGTGGCAGTGCTCCAAAAACAGAATAGTGATGCTCAGTGGGCTTGGATTTGTCCCAATTTGTCCCCAAAATGCTGGCCAGGGGGGTGGCAGTGCTCAAAAAACAGAATAGTGAGGCTCAGGGGCTTGGATTTGTCACATTTTGTCCCCAGAAATGCTGGCCAGGAGGGTGGCAGCTCTCAGGGCCCCCAACAGAGCACAGTGGGCTTGGATTTGTCACATTTTGTCCCCAAAAATGCTGGTCAGGAGGGTGGCAGTGCTCCAAAAACAGAATAGTGAGGCTCAGGGTGCTTGGAATTGTCACATTTTGTCACAGTTTGTCCCCAAAAATGCTGGTCAGGGGCGTGGCAGTGCCCCAAACAGAGCACGGGGATGCTCAGGGGCTTGGATTTGTCACATTTTGTCCCCAAAAATGCTGCTCAGGGAGGTGGCAGCTCTCAGTGCCCCCAACAGAGCACAGTGGGCTTGGATTTGTCCCAGTTTGTCCCAATTTGTCCCCAAAAATCCTGGTCAGGAGGGTGGCAGTGCTCCAAAAACAGCATAGTGAGGCTCAGTGGGCTTGGATTTGTCACATTTTGTCCCCAAAAATGCTGGTCAGGGGGGTGGCAGTGCCCCAAACACAGCACGGGGATGCTCAGTGGGCTTGGAATTGTCACATTTTGTCACAATTTGTCCCCAAAAATTCTGGCCAGGAGGGTGGCAGTGCTCCAAAAACAGAATAGTGAGGCTCAGGGGGCTTGGATTTGTCACATTTTGTCCCCAAAATGCTGTCCAGGGGCGTGGCAGTGCCCCAGACAGAGCACGGGGATGCTCAGTGGGCTTGGATTTGTCCCAATTTGTCCCAATTTGTCCCCAAAAATGCTGGTCAGAAGGGTGGCAGTGCCCCAAACACAGCACAGTGATGCTCAGTGGATCAGAATGGGCTCCAAGCAGACGGATCCAGGTGGGATTTTTTTGGAATTGGGGAATAATTGAATTTGGAAGTTTCTTTTCAAGGCCATCAAGTCCAACCTGCTGCAGGTTGAAGGAACTGTTCAAGGCTTGGGGCTCCTGCAGCGCCTGATCGCCCCCGAAATCCAAAATATCTTCCACAAAATCGAATATATTGAGACTTTTACAGCCCAAATCCGGCTCGTCTGAGCTGAAAAAGGAGGTGCGGGCCTGGGGATGCACCGGGAATGAACCGGGGATGAACGAGGGATACACCGGGAATGAACCGAGGATGAACCGGGAATGAAGCAGGAATGAACCGGGAATGCACCGGGAATGAACCGGGGATGGAATGAACCGGGGATACACCGGGAATGAACCGGGAACGCACCGGGAATGAACAGGGAACGAATCGGGAACGAACCGGGGATGAACCAGGAATGAACCAGAATGAACCTGGGATACCCGGGAATGAACCGGGAATGCACCGGGAATGAACCGGAATGAACCAGGAATGAACCGGGGATACACCGGGAATGAACCGGGAACGAACCAGGAATGAACCGGGAATGAACCAGAATGAACCACGAATGAACCGGGGATACACCGGGAATGAATCGGGAATGCACCGGGAATGAACCGGGAACGAACCGGGAATGAACCAGAATGAAAATGAACCGGGGATGAACCGGGGATACACCGGGAATGAACCAGAATGAACCGGGGATACACCGGGAACGAACCGGGAATGCACCGGGAACGAACCGGGAGGCTCCGGCAGGGCACGGGACACGCGTGGCCGGTACCACGAGGATGCTGCTCGCTGCTACCGGGGGGGCTTTTCTTTTCCCCGGGGGATTCCATCCCTTGGGATGCAGGAGTGGGGGGCACCATCACGGAGCCGCTGCTCGGTACCGGGAAGAACCACCGGGAGCGGAGTATGGGAGTCAGGGGACGAAGTGGGTGGTCCGTTTTCCGCCGAAAAAACGGAAGCGGAGGTGGAAAAAAAAAAAAAAAACAAACCCAAAAATCAAAAAAAAGCTCTCGCTGTCCCGCCCTCGCCCCGCCTCTCCGGCGTCACCGGTTATATAACGCGGCCGCGCCGGTCCCGCCCGCACCCCGCCGGCCGCTCGCACCGGGCGCCATGTTCGCCGTGAAGCCGAAAGCTTTCATCGGCTTCAACCTCTACTGCGGCGGCTCCCCGGGGCTGAGCCCCGCGGGGCCGGAACCGCGGCCGGAGCCTCACCGGGACCCTCACCGGGACCCTCACCGGGACCCCGCGGAGCCTCACCGGGAACACCGCGGGGCCACCGGCGGCAGCGCCGACCCCCCCCGCGCGCTGATTGGTCGAGGCGCGGCGCCGCGCTCGCTGATTGGCTGCGGCGCGACTCTCTGGCGCCCCGAGGAGGAACTGGACGGATGCGACCCCGAACCCGAACGCGGCTCCGCCGCCGCCGCTTCGCTGCCCGGGACCCCCCCCGGGACCCCGCCCGGAGCTCCGGATGGGCTCCGGCAGGACTCGCTGGAGCTCATCAGCCGCTACCTGCGGGAGGTGGCTGGGGAGGAGCAGCCCAGCGCTAAGAAGCTTTTTCCGGGTCTTCTCGGTGGGCCCGGGCGGCCCGGGGCGGCGGGGGATGCGGTGATGGAGAAGGCGCTGGAGACGCTGCGGAGGGTCGGGGACGGTGTGATGAGGAAACACGAGCTGGCTTTTCAAGGTGGGTGTATCGGGAGGATTGTGAGACCCCCGTGTTGTCCTTTGGGTCGGTGGTCGTGGCAGGAGGGGTTTGGAGCCGGGGGTGATGCCCCCGTGGGGATGTGGCTTTGGCTCGGAAGGGGTTAAATAAAAGCGGTTGGGGAGCGCTCAAAAACGAAACTGAACTTTGTTCCGTGGCGATGAGGAAAAGCTGGTGGTGTGTGCGGAGGAGATAATCTGGTTACAGATTAGCTCTGGTTCCTCCTGGTGCTCCCCTACACTTGGGGTGACTGTGCAAAAATCCCGAGCGTCCAAAATTTGGTGAGCTCAGGAGTTTCAGATCCTCACCCCCAGTTTGGGTGTAAAGGGGATTTTTGGTGGGGGAATTCTCTTCAGCAATGTGCTCACAGAACCGTGGAGTGGTTTGGGTTGAAATAGAATTTAAAACTTATCCAGTTTGATGGGCAAGGACACCTTCCACCATCCAGGGAAATCTGCTTTAATGGATTTAATCCCAAGTGTTCAAGATTAATAAATTTAGGAGTTTCAGTTTAGGTGTAAGGGGGTTTTTGGTGGGGGGAATTCTCTCACAGAACCGTGGAATGGTTTGGGTTGAAATAGAATTTTAAACTTACCCAGTTTGATGAGCAGGGACACTTCCACCATCCTGGAAAATCTGCTTTAATATATTTAATCCCAAAATTAATAAACTCAGGCGTTTCAGATCCTCACCCCTACCCAGTTTAGATGGAAGGGGGGATTTTGGTGGGGGAATTCTCTCACAGAACCGTGGAATAGTTTGGGTTGAAATGGAAGTTAAAATTTATTCAGTTCCATGGGCAGGGACACTTCCACCATCCAGGGAAATCTGCTTTAATGTATTTAATCCCAAGTGTTCAAGATTAATAAATTTAGGAGTTTCAGTTTAGGTGTAAGGGGGTTTTTGGTGGGGGAAATTCTCTCAGAACCGTGGAATGGTTTGGGTTGAAATAGAATTTTAAACTTACCCAGTTTGATGGGCAGGGACACTTCCACCATCCAGGGAAATCTGCTTTAATGTATTTAATCCCAAAATTAATAAACTCAGGAGTTTCAGATCCTCAGCCCTACCTAGTTTAGGTGTGAGGGGGTTTTGGTGGGGGGAATTCTCTCACAGGATCATGAAATAGTTTGGGTTGAAATAGAATTTAAAACTCATCCAGTTCCACCATCCCTGCCCAGCCTGACCTTGGGCACCTCCAGGGATGCAGGGGCAGCCCCAGCTGCTGTGGGAAATTTGGTTTTTTTTTGTATTTCACCCCTTTTGCAGCGCCCTGAAGCGCCTGGAGGAAGTTGAGCCCAGGGCCTGGCCTGGGGATGAACTGGAAATGAGAAGTTTTGACCCGGTTTTGTCCTGGTTTTGTGGAACTGGGGCTGAGCTGCAGCCCGGGCCAGGGTGGAGCCCGGCAGGGCAGGGTCTGCATTTCCTGCAGCACTTTTGGGGTTCCTGCAGCAGTTTTGGGGTGCCTGCAGCACTTTTGGGGTGCCTGCAGCACTTTTGGGGTTCCAGGGGGGTGTTTGGTTCAGGTTCCTGCAGCAGTTTTGGGGTGCCTGGGAAGGTGTTGAGGTGCAGGTTCCTGGGGGGTGTTTGGTTCAGGTTCAGGGAGCAGTTTTGGGGTTCCTGCAGCAGTTTTGGGGTGCCTACAGCAGTTTTGGGGTTCCTGGGGGATGTTTGGTTCAGGTTCCTGCAGCAATTTTGGGGTTCCTGGTGGGTTTTAGGGTGCAGCTTCCAGTAGCAGTTTTGGGGTATCAGGGTGCAGGTTCCTGCAGCAGTTTTGGGGTTCCTGGGAGGGGTTGAGGTGCAGATTCCTGGGGGGGTGTTTGGTTCAGGTCCCTGCAGCAATTTTGGGGTTCCTGGTGGGTTTTAGGGTGCAGCTTCCTGTAGCAGTTTTGGGGTTCCTGGGTGGGGTGTCAGGGTGTAGGTTCCTGCAACAATTTTGGGTTTCCTGCAGCAGTTTTGGGGTGTTGAGGTGCAGATTCCTGGGGGGTGTTTGGTTCAGGTTCCTGCAGCAGTTTTGGGGTTCCTGCAGCAGTTTTGGGGTTCCTGGAGCAGTTTTGGGATTCCTGGGAGGTGTCGAGGTGCAGATTCCTGGGGGGTGTTTGGTTCAGGTTCCTGCAGCAGTTTTTGGGGTCCCTGCAGCACTTTAGGAGTTCCTGCAGCACTTTTGGGCTTACTGCAGCAGTTTTTGGGGTTCCTGCAGCACTTTTTGGGGTTCCTGCAGCACTTTAGGGGTCCCTGCAGCACTTTAGGGGTTCCTGCAGCAGTTTTTGGGGTCCCTGCAGCACTTTTTTGGGTCCCTGCAGCAGTTTTTGGGCTCCCTGCAGGTGTTTTTGGGGTCCCTGCAGCACTTTTTGGGGTCCCTGCAGCACTTTTGGGGTTCCTGAAGAACTTTTGGGGTCCCTGCAGCAGTTTTTGGGGTCCCTGCAGCACTTTTGGGGTCCCTGCAGGTGTTAGCTCCTGTGTGATGAAACCCCCTCCTCCTGTCCAGGAGGCTGTACCAATTTCTCAGCTCACTGCTTTTTTAAACTTAATTTAATTTTATTTTTGGCCTCTTTCTTTATTTCTTTTTCTTCTTTTTATTTTGTTTTGTTCCTTGAACACAAAGAAGCTTCGGTTTCATCCCGGGCTGTGTGCTGGGAGGGGCAGAGGGTTCAGTTCCTCTGCCCCAATTCCCGGACGTGCCTGCTGGAGGATTTTTTGGGGAGGAAGCTCCAGGCTGACGTGAGCACTCGGTGCTTTCCTGAGAGCTCAGGAGGAACTGCCCGGGGGTGGCTTCCTGTGACTTTCAGCAACAAAAATTTCAATTTCGTCAAAGCCTTGGCTTGTTTTCTTCTCCCCATGGCAGGGCTGGGGAATTTAAATTGATTTATTTCAGTTAATTAATAATCCGCTGTTCATCTGCCTCTACCCAGGCTGTGTTTCTCCCAGGTAGAGGAGAATTTAAATGGATTTATTTCAATTAATTAATAATCCCCTGTTTATCTGCCTGGTTTGGGTCTCCTAGGTAAGAGGAGAATTTAAATTTATTTACTTGAATTAATTAATAATCCCCCGTTCATCTGCCTCTACCCAGGCTGTGTTTCTCCCAGGTAGAGGAGAATTTAAATTTATTTATTTAAATTAATTAATAATCCCCTGTTTATCTGCCTGGTTTGGGTCTCTCCCCTGCCCAGGCCATGGTTCTCCTAGGTAGAGGAGAATTTAAATTTATTTATTTAAATTAATTAATAGGCCCCTGTTCATCTGCCTCTACCCAGGCTGTGTTTCTCCCAGGTAGAGGAGAATTTAAATGGATTTATTTCAATTAATTAATAATCCCCTGTTAATCTGCCTGGTTTGGGTCTCTGCCCTGCCCAGGCCGTGGTTCTCCTAGGTAAAAGGAGAATTTAAATTGATTTATTTAAATTAATTAATAGGCCCCTGTTAATCTGCCTGGTTTGGGTCTCCTAGGCAGAGGAGAATTTAAATGGATTTATTTAAATTAATTAATAATCCCATGTTAATCTGCCTGGTTTTGGGTGTCAGGGTGCAGGTTCCTGTGCTAGTTTTGGGGGTTCCTGTGACACTTTTGGGGGTTCCTGTGACACTTTTGGGGGTTCCTGTGACAGTTTTGGGGTTCCTGCAGCACTTTTGGGGGTTCCTGCAGCACTTTTGGGGGTTCCTGCAGCACTTTTGGGGTTCCTGTGACACTTTTGGGGGTTCCTGCAGCACTTTTGGGGGTTCCTGCAGCACTTTTGGGGGTTCCTGCAGCACTTTTGGGGTCCCTGTGACACTTTTGGGGTTCCTGCAGCACTTTCAGCCATCCAAACCCCGCGGGGCTGTCCCGGGTGAGGGAGGGCAGCAGAACCCTGTGGGGAAGCAGAACTGGATTTCCATCCCTGACATTTGGGGGGGTCCCACCCCTGACATTGGGGTGTCCCACCCTCTCCCTGCCCCTCCAAAAGGGGTGGGGGGACATTTTCCCCCCTGCCTGACCCCAAATCCCGCAGGAATGCTGCGGAAGCTGCGGATCCAGCGAGAAGAAGACCTGCAGGCGGTGGTGGAGGTGGCTGCCCACCTCTTCAGCGACGGGGTGACCAACTGGGGCCGGGTGGTGACGCTCATCTCCTTCGGAGCCTTCGTGGCCAAGCACCTGAAGAGCATCCAGCAGGAGCAGGGCATCGGCTGCCTGGCTGCCATCATCACCGAGGCGCTGGTCTCCTCCAAGAGGGAGTGGCTGGAGAGCCAGGGGGGCTGGGTGAGTCCCTGCCCCGAATTCCTCAGCTTTTTCCAGAATTTTCCTGTTTCTCTGTGGTTGACTCACTGCTGCCAGGGGGGTTCTGGGGTTTCCTTGAGCTAAAAAAGCTTTTCCTGCCCAGCCTGGGGCAGGATTGCCAAAGGAAGGGCAGGGCTGGGGATATTTTAGGATGAAATGGGGCTGGGGGTGTGGGGGAGCTCAGTCTGATGTACTGGGCTGAAATGGGGCTGGGGGTGTTTTAGGATGAAATGGGGCTGGGGGAGCACAGGGGATGTTTGAGGCTGAATTGGGTCTGGGGGTGTGCAGGATGAAATGGGTCTGGGGATATTTTAGGCTGAAATGGGGCTGGGGATGTTTTAGGATGAATTGGGTCTGGGGGTGCACAGAGTATATGCAGGATTAAATGGGGCTGGGGGAGCACAGGGGATGTTTGAGGCTGAATTGGGTCTGGGGGTGTTTTAGGATGAATTGGGGCTGGGGATGTTTTAGGCTGAATTGGGTCTGGGGGTGTGCAGGATGAAATGGGTCTGGGGATATTTTAGGATGAAATGGGGCTGGGGGTGTTTTAGGATGAAATGGGTCTAGGGGTGCACAGGGGATATTTTAGGATGAAATGAGGCTGGGCGTGCACAGGGGATATTTGAGGCTGAAATGGGGCTGGGGATGAAATGGGGCTGGGGGAGCACAGGGGATGTTTTGGGATGAAATGGGGCTGGGGGTACACAGGATTTTGGGATGAAATGGGGCTGGGGATGTTTTAGACTGAATTGGGTCTGGGGGTGTGCAGGATGAAATGAGGCTGGGGGTGCACAGAGGACATTTGAGGCTGAATTGGGGCTGGGGGTGCAGAGGGGATGAGCAGGGTGGAATAGGGCTGGGGATGTTTGAGGCTGAATTGGGGCTGGGGGCCGTGCCAGGCTCTGCCCCCCCTCCCCTGGCAGGGCCCTGACCCCCCTCCCTCTGTGCCAGGGGGGCTTCGTGGACTTCTTCCGCCTGGAGGACCTGGAGGGCAGCGTCCGGAACGTTCTGATGGCCTTCGCGGGGGTGGCCGGCCTGGGGGCCAGCCTGGCCTACCTGATCCGGTGAGGCTGGAGCTGCCAGGACCTGCCACGGGGCTGCCAGGACCTGCTGCAGAGCTGCCAGGACCTGCAGAGCTGCCAGGACCTGCCGCGGGGCTGCCAGAACCTGCTGCGGAGCTGCCAGGACCTGCCACGGAGCTGCCGGGACCTGCAGGGCTGCCCAGGACCTGCAGAGCTGCCAGGACCTGCCGCGGAGCTGCGAGGACCTGCCGGGCTGCCCAGGACCTGCAGAGCTCCCAGCAGAGCTGCCAGGACCTGCAGAGCTCCCAGCAGAGCTGCCAGGACCTGCAGAGCTGCCAGGACCTGCAGAGCTGCCCAGGACCTGCCAGGACCTGTACCAGCAGATCTTCCAGGACCCGCAGAGCTGCCAGGACCTGCACCAGCAGATCTTCCAGGACCTGCAGAGCTGCCAGGACCTGCAGAGCTGCCAGGACCCGCACCAGCAGAACTTCCAGGACCAGCAGAGCTGCCAGGACCTGCAGAGCTGCCCAGGACCTGCGTTTTTGGCAGGATTGGCTCCCTGCAGAGCTGCCAGGACCTGCAGAGCTGCCAGGACCTGCACCAGCAGAGCTGCCAGGACCTGCAGCTCTTCCAGGACCTGCAGCTCTTCCAGGACCTGCAGAGCTCCCAGCAGAGCTGCCAGGACCTGCACCAGCAAATCTTCCAGGACCTGCAGAGCTCCCAGCAGAACTGCCAGGACCTGCAGAGCTGCCAGGACCCGCACCAGCAGATCTTCCAGGACCTACAGAGCTGCCAGGACCTGCACCAACAGATCTTCCAGGACCTGCAGAGCTGCCAGGACCCGCAGAGCTGCCAGGACCTGCATTTTGGCAGCTGGAGTGGATTTTTCCCGCTTTGATCCCACTGGGAACCGCCTGTGCTGACGTTTGAGGCTTGTGGGTTCTTTTTTTTTCCTTTTTTTTTGTTTTATTTTTGATTTTTTCCCTCTGGAAATTCACATTTTCCTCCACCTCAGCGTGCCCGAATTGTGCCAGCCTGGCACAAAAAAAAACTCTGCCAAAACCTCAACCTCTCCTGACAGCGCGGAAATAACCAATTTGTAATTATGTACAAAAAAAAACCAACAAAAAAACCACCCCCAGTGGGCTGGGGAGGATGTAGAAAACCTGTAAATGTCTATAAATCTATAGAATATATACATTTTTACAGAGCTGACCATACAAAAAGGAGGAATTCCTTCTGCACACGCGTCGTTCCCGCTGGGAAATTGAATTTTCCTGGCAAAATTCGTCCCTCAAATCCTTCAGTGGGGGGTGGTGACAACAGCAGCTGATTTTTTTTGGTTTTAATCTCTATTTTTTGGGGTTTTTTGGGTTTTTTTGGTGTATTTTGGGCTGGGGGAGCTGTGGAAATCTTCCTTCTCTTCACTTCCTGCTGCTCGGAGCTGATGGTTGAATGTAAAAAACTTCTGGGCTCCCCAAAAGTTGATTTTTTCACCCCAAAAAACTCTCCTTGCCCACCCCTGGCTCTGAGGGGGATATTTTTGTCACCAGGCGCTGCTGGGGTGCAGAACGAGCTGTAGTTTGGTTAATAAATGTATTTTTTTGTTCTATTTACGCTGCTAAAAAACTGCTTTTTCCACCCACCCCAGTCAGGGGTTCTTGCTGCACCAGGATTTTTGGGATTTTTAGGATTTTTGGGATTTTTGGGATTTTTGGGATTTTTGGGAAAGGTTCTTGGTGTGGAAAAGGGATGGGAGTGTCTGGTGGCAGAAAAATTCCACCCTAAAATCATCTGGAGAGGAAAAATCCCACCCAAAAATCATCTGGAAGGGAAAAATTCTGCCCCAAAATCCTCTGGAAAAGCAAAATCCCACCCCAAAAATAATCTGGAAAGGAAAAATCCGCCCAAAAATCATCTGGAGAGGAAAAATCCTGCCCCAAAAATCATCTGGAAAAGCAAAATCCTCTAGAAAAGCAAAATCCCACCCAAAAAATCCTCTGGAAAAGCAAAATCCCATCCCAAAAATAATCCAGAAAGGCAAATTCCTGCTCCAAAAATAATCTGGAAAATTGAAATCCAGCCCCAAAATCCTCTGGAGAGGCAAAATCCCGCCCCAAAATCCACTGAAAAAGCAAAATCCTGCCCAAAAATCATCTGGAAAGGCAAAATCCTGCCCCAAAAATAATCTGGAGAGGCAAAATCCCATCAAAATTCTCTGGAAAGGCAAAATCCCACCCCAAAATCCGCTGAAAAAGCAAAATCCTGTCCCAAAATCCACTGAAAAAGCAAAATCCCGCCCAAAATCCTCAGGAAAAGCAAAATCCTGCCCCAAAATCCTCTGGAAAGGCAAAATCCTGCCCCAAAAATAATTTGGAGAGGCAAAATCCTATCAAAATTCTCTGGAAATGCAAAATCCTGTCTCAAAATCCACTGAAAAAGCAAAATCCCACCCCAAATCCACTGAAAAAGCAAAATCCTGCCCCAAAATCCTCTGGAAAGGCAAAATCCCACCCAAAAATCTTCTGGAAAAGGAAAATCTTGCCACAAAATGCTCAAGAAAGGTAAAATCTTGGCTCCAAATCCTCTAGAAAAGCAAAATCCCACCCAAAAATTCTCTGGAAAAGCAAAATCCTGTCCCAAAATCCACTGAAAAAGCAAAATCCTGCCCAAAATCCTCCGGAAAAGCAAAATTTTGCCCCAAATTAATCTGAAAAGCAAAAATGAGTGACTCAGCCCTGCTGTGCTGGGTGTGAATTTCTGCTTTTTTTTGGGTGGTTTTTGGTCTGTTTTGTTTTTCCGGTTTTTTGGGGTTTTGTTTTTTTTTTTTTTTGGTGGTTTTTGGGTGTTTTTTTTAAATCTGTGGGGTTGTTTTGGGCCTGTTTGGGTGCCCGGGTGCAGCGAGGCCGTGGGGCAAAATTGGGAGGGGAGGGGGTTGGGGTGCAGGGGGAATTTGGGGTGCAGGGGGAATTTGGGGTGCAGGGGGAATTTGGGGTGCAGGGGGAATTTGGGGTGCAGGGGGAATTTGGGGTGTTGGTGGTTCCTAAATTTGGGTGTTTGTGCTTGGGAGGGGTTGGGGTGCAGCTGAAATTTGGGGTGCAGGGGAATTTTGGGGTGCAGGGGAAAATTGGGGTGGGGGTGGCTCTGAAATTTGGGTGTTTGTGCCTGGGAGGAGTTTGGAGTGCAGGGAAAATTTGGGGTGCAAGGGAATTTTGGGGGGGAAATTTGGGGTTCAGGGGAAATTTGGGTATGGGTGGCTCCTAAATTTGGGTGTGGGTGCCTGAGAGGGGTTGGGGTGCAGCTGAAATTTGGGGTGTTTGTGGCTCCTAAATTTGGGTGTTTGTGCCTGAGAGGGGTTGGGGTGCAGCTGAAATTTGGGGTGCAGGGGAAATTTGGGGTGCAGGGGAAATTTGGGGCGTTGGTGGCTCCTAAATTTGGGGTGTGGGTGCCTGGGAGGGGTTGGGGTACAGCTGAAATTTGGGGTGCAGGGGAAATTTGGGGTGTTGGCAGCTCCCAGGGGGTTGGGGTGTTGGTGGCTGGGGAAATTTGGGGTACAGGCGAAATTTGGGGTGCAGGTGGCTCCTAAATTTGGGGTGCTGGTGCCTGGGAGGAGTTTGGGTGCAGCTGAAATTTGGGGTGCAGATGAAATTTGGGGTGTTGGTGGCTCCTAAATTTGGGGTGTTTGTGCCTGGGAGGGGTTGGGTTGCAGGTGAAATTTGGGGTGCAGCTGAAATTTGGGGTGCAGGTGAAATTTGGGGTGTTGGTGGCTCCTAAATGTGGGTGTTTGTGCTTGGGAGAGGTTGGGGTGCAGCTGGAAGTTGGGGTGCAGGGGAAATTTGGGGTGTTGGTGGCTCCCATGGGTTCAGGGGTGGCTCCTAAATTTGGGGTGCTGGTGGTTCCCAGGGGTTATGGGGTGTTGGTGGCTCCTAAATTTGGGGTGCTGGTGGCTGGGAGAGGTTGGGGTACAGCTGAAATTTGGGGTGCAGCTGAAATTTGGGGTGCAGGCAAAATTTGAGGTGGGGGTGGCTCCTAAATTTGGGGTGCTGGTGGCGGGGAGAAGTTGGGGTGCAGGTGGGGCTCGGGGTTTTGGTTTTGGGGTGTTGGTGGCCCCTAAATTTGGGGTGCTGGTGGCTGGGAGAGTTTGGGTTGCAGGGGAAATTTGGGGTGCAGGTGGCTCAGAGATTTTGGGGTGCAGAAGGGGCTCAGGGTGTTGGTGCCTCGCACGGTTTTGGGGTGTTGGTGGCTCCTAAATTTGGGGTGCTGGTGGCTGGGAGAGATTGGGGTGCAGCTGAAATTTGGGGTGCAGGCGAAATTTGGGGTGAAGGCGAAATTTGGGGTGTTGGTGGCTCCTAAATTTGGGTGTTGGTGCCTGAGAGGGGTTGGGGTGCAGCTGAAATTTGGGGTGTTGGCAGCTCCCAGGGGGTTGGGGTGTTGGTGGCTGGGGAAATTTGGGGTGCAGGTGAAATTTGGGGTGTTGGTGGCTCCTAAATTTGGGGTGCTGGTGCCTGGGAGGAGTTTGGGGTGCTGGGGGGGGGCAGGAAGGAATTGGGGTGCCCTGGACTGATCTTGGGGTGCCGGGGAGGTGTCAGGGTGCAGCTGCTGCTGCAGTTTTGGGGTTCCTGCCGCAGTTTTGAGGTGCACAATTTTGGGGTGCAGATTTCTGCAGCAGTTTTGGGGTGCCTGGTGCAATTTTGGGGTTCCTGCCGCAGTTTTGGGGTGCAGATTTTTGCAGAATTTTGGGGTTCCTGCAGCAGTTTTGGGGTGCAGATTCCTACAGAATTTCGGGGTGCCTGGTGCAATTTTGGGGAGCAGATTTCTGCAGCAGTTTTGGGGTTCCTGTAGCAGTTTTGGGGTGCAGATTTCTGCAGAATTTTGGGGTTCCTGCTGCAGTTTTGGGTTCCTGTGGCAGTTTTGGGGTGCAGAATTTTGGGGAGCAGATTCCTACAGAATTTTGGGGTGCCTGATGCAATTTTGGGGTGCAGATTTCTGCAGAATTTTGGGGTTCCTGCAGCAGTTTTGGGGTTGTTGCCTCAGTTTTGGGGTGCCTGTAGCAGTTTTGGGGTGCACATTCCTACAGAATTTTGGGGTTCCTGCAGCAGTTTTGGGGTGCAGATTCCTACAGAATTTCGGGGTTCCTGCAGCAGTTTCGGGGTGCCTGTAGCAGTTTTGGGGTGCAGAATTCTGGGGTGCAGATTTCTGCAGAATTTTGGGGTTCCTGCAGCAGTTTTGGGGTGCAGATTTCTGCAGAATTTTGGGGTGCCTGGTGCAATTTTGGGGTGCAGGTTCCTGCCGAATTTCGGGGTTCAGCCGCAGTTTCGGGGCTCCCTTTCCCCGTGCCCCCCCCCGGTCGCTCCGAGGTTTCCGTTTCCGTCCCCCCCCCCGGGGCTTTTCTGCGAAGCCGCCGCGATTTCCCCGAACGGAACCGGGGCTGTAAATAAGGGCTGGGGGAGGGGATTGAGGAGAAAAATTCAAAATTCGGCCCCTGGAAAATAAAAGAAAAATTAAAAATTCAAAATTCAGCTGCTGGAAAATAAAAACCCTAAAAATTCAAAATTCAGCTGCTGGAAAAAAAAAATTAAAAATTAAAAATTCAGGTGCTGGGGAAAAAAAAAATTCAAAATTTAGCTGCTGGGAAAAAAAGATGAAAAATTAAAAATTCAAAATTCAGCGGCTGGAAAATAAAAAAAAAAAGAAAAATTCAAAACTCAGCCGCTGGAAAAAAAAAGATGAAAAATTCAAAATTCAGCGGCTGGTGGGGGAATTTTGGGGCAGGGGAATTTTGGGGTGGAATTTAGGGGTGGAATTTTGGGGCAGGGGAATTTTGGGGTGAAATTTTGGGGTAGGGGAATTTTGAGGGTGGGGGAATTTTGAGGGTGGGGAGATTTTGGCGTGGGGGAATTTGGGGGTGGGGAAATTTTAGGATTGGGGTGTGGGGGAATTTTGGGGTGGGGGAATTTTGGGGTGAAATTTTTGGGGTGGGAGAATTTTGGGGTTAAATTTTGGGTGGGGGAATTTTAGGAGTGGGGGAATTTCGGGGCAGGGGAATTTTGGGTGGGGGAATTTTGGGTGGAGGAATTTTGGGGTGGTGGAATTTTGGGGTTAAATTTTGGGTGGGGGAATTTTGGGGTTAAATTTTGGGTGGGGGAATTTTGGGGAAGCCGCAGCTGGGGCTCGAAAGCTGCCGAGCGGGGGGGGGGGGGAAGATGGTTCATGCAAATGCACAAAATCCCCCAAAAATCCCCCAAATTTGTGTTCATTTTTGGGGTGTGGGGTTTTCCCCCGCGATGCTGGGGGGCAGAGATTTCCCTTTTTGGGGTGGGGCGGCGTTTTTGGGGGGCGGGGGTCCCATCCCGAACCCCCCCACCCCAACCCCAGGGGGGGTGTGCCCTGCTCGGTTCTTCTTCCAGGAATTCGGGTGCCCCTGGCACCCCAAAAAGTCTTCCCTGCCTGGGGGCTGCTCCGTGAAGGCTCCTCCTCCACTTCCTCCTCCTTTTCTCCTCTTCTTCCTCCTCCTCTTCTTCCTCCTCCTCTTCCTCCTCTTCTTCCTCCTCCTCCTCCTCTTCCTCCTCCTTTTCTCCTCCTCCTCCTCCTCCTCTTCCTCCTTCTCCTCTTCCTCCTCCTCCTCTTCCTTCTCCTCCTCTTCCTCCTTCTCTTCTTCCTCCTCCTCCTTTTTTCATTCTCTTCCTCCTCCTCTTTTTCTCCTTCCTCCTCCTGTTTTTCTCCTTCTCTTTCTCCTCCTCTTCTTCCTCTTCCTCCTCCTCCTCTTTTTCTCTTCTCTTCCTCCTTCTCCTTTTTTCATTCTCTTCCTCCTCCTCCTTTTCTTCTTCTCTTCTTCCTCCTCCTCCCCCGGACTTCCAGCCCCTCCTGACCTCAGGGTTATGGGGGGCACGAGGGTGTTTTGGGGGATTTTTTGGGGGAGATTTGGGGGTTTAGGGGGCACAGGGGGTGTTGAGCCCCTGCAGTTTGGGGGGCTTAGAGGAATTTGGGGGCACAGGGGGTGTTTGGGGGGGATTTGGGGCACAGGGCTGTGCCGGCAGCGGGCACGGCCCACACCCACTGACCCCACACTGATCCCAGTGCCCCCCAGTGTGTCCCAGTGCCCCCCAGTGTGTCCCAGTGAGCTCCCAGTGCACCCCAATGTGCCCCAGTTCATCTCCAGTGCCCCCTCAGTGTGTCCCAGTGCCCCCCAGTGTGTCCCAGTTCACCCCAGTGTGCTCCAGTGTGCCCCAGTGCACTCCAGTGAGCTCCCAGTGCACCCCAGTGTGCCCCAGTTCATCCCAGTGTGCCCCACTGCACCCCAGTGCCCCCCAGTGTGCTGCAGTGTGTCCCAATGCACCCCCACTGTGTCCCAGTGCACCCCAGTATGTCCCAGTACACCCCCAGTGTGTCCCAGCATGTCCCAGTGCACCCCAATCCCCCCCAGTGTGCTGCAGTGTGTCCCAATGCACCCCCACTGTGTCCCAGTGCACCCCAGTATGTCCCAGTACACCTCCAGTGTGTCCCAGTGCACCCCAGTGCACCCCCAGTATGTCCCAGTGCCCCCCCAATGTGCCCCGATGTTCCCCAGTGAGCTCCCAGTGTGTCCCAGTGAGCTCCCAGTGCACCCCAATGTGCCCCAGTTTATCCCAGTGTGCCCCAGTGCACCCCCAGTATGTCCCCAACCCCCTCATTGTGCCCCCCAAACCCCTCATTGTGCCCCCCAAACCCCTCATTGTGCCCCCCAACCCCTCATTGTGCCCCCAAACCCCTCATTGTGCCCCCCAAACCCCTCATTGTGCCCCCAGACCCCTCATTGTGCCCCCCAAACCCCTCATTGCACCCCCCAAACCCCTCATTGTGCCCCCAAACCCCTCATTGGGCCCCCAAACCCCTCATTGTGCCCCCCAACCCCTCATTGTACCCCCCCAAACCCCTCATTGTGCCCCCAAACCCCTCATCCTGCCCCAAACCCCTCATTGTACCCCCAAACCCCTCATTGTGCCCCCAAACCCCTCATTGCACCCCCCAAACCCCTCATTGTGCTCCCCAAACCCCTCATTGTGCCCCCCCAACCCCTCATTGTGCCCCCAAACCCCTCATTGTGCCCCCCAAACCCCTCATTGTGCCCCCCCAAACCCCTCATTGCACCCCCCAAACCCCTCATTGTACCCCCCAAACCCCTCATTGTGCCCCCAAACCCCTCATTGCACCCCCCAACCCCCTCATCCTGCCCCTAAACCCCTCATTGCACCCCCAAACCCCTCATTGTGCCCCCCAAACCCCTCATTGTGCCCCCAGACCCCTCATCCTGCCCCAAACCCCTCATTGCACCCCCCAAACCCCTCATCCTGCCCCAAACCCCTCATTGTGCCCCCCAAACCCCTCATTGTGCCCCCCAAACCCCTCATTGTGCCCCCCAAACCCCTCATCCTGCCCCCCAAACCCCTCATTGTGCCCCCAAACCCCTCATTGTGCCCCCAAACCCCTAATTGTGCCCCCAAACCCCTCATCCTATCCCAGGGAGGATTTGTTGGGGTCCCTCAGACATTTTTTGGAGGTTCCAGGCCCAGCTCAGAAGCATTTGAGACCCTGGCAGGCAGCTGGAAAATTTTGGATTTCAACCATGGAACGATTTACCGACCTTGCAGGAAGAACAAGAAGTCACAAAATTTAGATATTATAATAGAAGTAGTCACAAAGTAAAGAAAATAATTTTTGAGTGCTGTACAGGGGGATTTTGGTTTTGGTTTTGGGCCTGCCCTGTCCTCCCTCTCTCTTCTTCCTTCCCTCCATGTTCTTGGTGCTGTTGGCACTCACAAATTAATTTAAAGTAGAAAAGCACCATTTAATACAGGTAATAGGCATTGGGGAAAAACTGGATATAATCTGGATTTTTGGGACACCCGCACAGCCTTTCTGCTGGATTTCCCAGAGGAACAGCTGGATTTTCCCACTGGATTTTCAGAGCACCCTTCTGCAGGATCACTGCTCTGACAAGGTGGGTGTCCTAGATTGCCAAGCAATATTTATTTTATTTTCCATCTGTCAGAGGTGTTATTTTTTGGTTTTTGGGCAGTTTTCTTTATCTCTTCCACAAATCAATCCTCCCTCTGAGGAGACATCTGCTGTTAATGCTCTATTGAATGTCACTGCATCCCTCAGTGAGATGGGAGGAGCCAAGCATTCCTAACTGGATATAATCTGGATTTTTGGGACACCAGCAAAGCCTTTTCCACTGGATTTCCCAGAGGAACAGCTGTGTTTTCCCACTGGATCATCAGAGGAAGTCTCCACCCTTCTCCAGGAGGACTGCAGCCACTCCAATTTGGACTGACCAAAAGGGTATCAGGTTGTATTGTGGCTCTGTCAGTGGTTTTCTTTAGTATTTTTGCATGGATTTTGGTGGGTTTTTTTTTTTTTTGGGGTTTATTTTTCCCTTTTCCTAATAAATTGTATTTCTGACTTGGAGTCCCTCACCAGCTTTGCTTTCAAAACAGAACATCATCTTGGCGCCCAACGTGGGGCTCTTCACGATGAAGATTCTTCCAACCCCCAGTACAGCATTCCCACAGCAAGCTGTGTCTAGAAATCCACTTTATTTGGTTGAAGACAAGTCAGAAATCCACTTTATTTGGTTGAAGACGAGTCAGTGATGGCCAACTCAGCCCCAGATCCCTCTGAGAACCTCGAGGAGCCACAGGCCACGCTCGCCCCAGCTGGGCAGCATCTGGTGGGTATCCAGGAGCACATTCCCAGCTGGACCAGCTCTCCATGGCCTGACAGGACACACCTGAGCTTCAGCAGCTGCTGGCACGTGGCACTGGGTGTCCCTCGTGTCCCAGGCCGGCACAGCAGCGGGAAGGTGGAGCAGGGAGGAGCTGGGATGTGCTGGGAGCAGGAGTGGAGCTGCTCCCCACCCCTGGAAGTGGCACTGGAGCCAGTCCTTGGCCAGCAGTGGTTGTATCCCTTGGGAGGAGGAGGAGGAGGAGGAGGAGGAGGAGGAGGAGGAGGAAGGGGAAGATTTTCCTGACCAAACTCCCCCCCAACGCTTCCCTTTGCTGCATGGATCAGGAAAAATCTGGGGAGGGAGTGGGAAGGAGCAGGACACAAAGTGGGGGGAGGTGGCAGCTGAAAGTGTCACCTCGGGGGGCAGAGGGGATGGCAGCAGCACTGGGCAGCTGAAAGTGTCACCCCAGTCCCCTCGGGGGGCAGAGGAGGTGGAAGAGGAGGTGGCAGCTGAAAATGTCACCCCAGTCCCCTCAGGGGGCAGAGGAGGTGGAAGAGGAGGTGGCAGCTGAAAATGTCACCCTGGTCCCCTCGGGGGGCAGAGGAGGTGGCAGCAGCAGCAGCAGCCACGGCCATTCCCGGGCAGGGAATCCGGGAATCCCAGGGGAAGGAGGAGCCGGGAAGGGAAGGGGAGGATCCTGGGGGGTCTCGGTGCCCCCCTCAGTTGATGGGCTCGTACTGGGAAGGGAAGTGGAGGATCCCGGGGGGTCTCGGTGCCCCCTCAGTTGATGGGCTCATACTGGGAAGGGAAGTGGAGGATCCCGGGGGTCTCGGTGCCCCCTCAGTTGATGGGCTCGTACTCGGAGTAGCGTCGCCTCCGTGCCAGCAGCAGCAGGCAGCTGCCCAGCAGCAGCATGGCCAGCGGGGTGCCCAGCGCCACGGCCGCGATGGAGATCACCAGGGGGGAGAAGGTGTCCCTGGGGGGCTCCCCGAAACCCAGCAGCACCGACCTGCAGGAGGGGATCAGGATCAGCACAGGGGAGGGGAGGGGTTCTGCCCTTCCCCACCTCAGAGGGTCAGGGCAGGATGAGGCTCCTCAAGGAACTCAGTGAAGCCTTTGCTGCAGGATTGGAGGGAAACTCAAAACTTTGGCATGGAGACTGGTACTAAGCAGAGAAACCCCATGAACTGCCAGTTCCCAAACTGCACATCCTGAGTGACCAGCAGCACCCCTTCAGACCTCTCTGAACATCATTAATGACCAGGAGCATCCTTTAGACCCTTCTGCACATCATTAAAGACCAGCAGCATCCCTTTAGACCCTTTTGCACATCATGAATGACCAGCAGCATTCTTTTAGACCCCTCTGCACATCATGAATGACCAGGAGCATCCTTGACCAGGGAATTCCTCCACTCTTAGACCTTTCAGACCCCTCTGCACATCCTGAGTGACCAGCAGCCCCTCAGACCTTTCTGCACATTGTTAATGACCAGCAGCATCCTTTTAGACCCCTCTGCACATCCTTAGTGACCAGGATCATCATTTCAGATCCCTCTGCACGTCCTTAGTGACCAGCACCCCCTCAGACCCCTCTGAACATCATTAATGACCAGGACCATAATTTCAGACCCTTCTGCACATCACGAGTGACCAGCAGCATCCTTTTAAACCCCTCTGCACATCATGAACGACCAGCACCCCTCAGATCCCACTCACCAGCTGAGGTACCTCTTCTCCTGGTACACCTCTCCCTCCTCACCCCCAAAGGACACATTGAGGGCGTTGATGGTGCAGCTGCTGCCCAAACTCTCCCCAAAATAAGCCTGGACCACGCTGGCCATGGGCAGGGTCCCGCTGGCCACCTGCAGCCCCCCAGCCCTGCACTGGATGCCATCCTCACGCCGGGGGCTGGGTGAGCCATAGGCCGTGGCTTTCCACTGCAGGAATCCCAAAACGGAGCTGCTGTTGTGGGGCTGAGCCAGCAGGGACAGCACCTGGGGAGGGAGAGTAAAATAGTCTTAAAATCATGGGCATTTAGGGTTAAAAGGAAAATTAAGCTTAGTAGGCCCTGGGGAAAAAATAATAAAAAAAAAAAATAAATACCCTAGGTACATGAAGGCTTTGTACCTTGCTAGAACTGCACCTTGCTAGAATTACCTGATAAATGATATAATTGTTAGATGGGATGATTGGTTAGTAATTCAATATAATTATTGTTTAATCATAAGGATAACCAGGAGAAACGGTGGTCAGAGAAAGATCACGAGAAACTCGTGTCAATGTATAAAACAGAATAATGTAAGCTGAATAATTAATATGTAAGTTATATAAGGATAGAATATAAAATAGAATATGTAAAAGTTTTCTTTTACAGATATTTTGAAAGTTTTAAAGTTCTCCTAAAACTTCTGATAATGTTACATATTTCAGAGTCAGAGTTCCTACATAATTTCCTAAATAGAACAGTTTACAGATTTCTCTGTGGGTGGAGAGAAATTATTGATTGATTGATTGATTGAGAAATGATTGATCAATCTTTCTGATCGATCTTTGGAGCAGTGTGGTTGGAGAGGTGGTAATTCCATCCTCCAATCCACAGTCACCTTTACAATTCTATAAATACCAGCTGTTTGAATAAAACTGGTTCTTTTTCTCTTTTAAACTTCCCAAACTTCTGTGTACTCATTTTTTGTCCAATAGTGGAGACTTATTTACCAAAGGCTGGTTTCTTAATTAACCAATGGTGATGGAATTCTATAAATACCAGATATTTTCACTGTAGTGTTGGCATTTTTCTGTTGGTTCAGGCTGGGGACACACTGTTCAAGGTAGGTGACAGATATTGGCACGTTATTGTAAATATAGCACACGTAGTTTCTGGTATATAATGTTACACTGGCACATTATTGTAAATATAGCACACATAGTTTTTTTGGTATATAATGTTTGTAACATCCCACTGAGGGGTGTTACATTGGGACATTATTGTAAATATAGCACAGGCAGTTTCTGATATTTAATGTTTGTAACATCCCACTGAGAGATGTTACATTGGCACGTTATTATAAATATAGCACAGGTAGTTTCTGGTATATAATGTTACATTGGCACGTTATTGTAAATATAGCACACATAGTTTTTTTGGTGTAAAATGTTTGTAACTTCCTACTGAGGGGTGTTATATTGGCACGTTATTGTAAATATAGCACAGGTAGTTTCTGGTATATAATGTTACATTGGTATGTTATTGTAAATATACCACACGTAGTTTCTGGTATATAATGTTACATTGGCACATTATTGTAAATATAGCACAGGTAGTTTCTGGTATATAATGTTTGTAACATCCTACTGAGGGATGTTACATTGGCACATTATTGTAAATATAGCACACGTAGTTTGTGGTATATAATGTTACATTGGCACGTTATTGTAAATATAGCACAGGGAGTTTCTGGTATTTAATGTTTGCAACATCCCACTGAGGGGCAGAGCCCTGCAGGACAGACCTGCTTCAGGGCAGCAGAACATGTTATAGATAAGTTTATTCTTATACATATAAGAATATTTATATTATTCTTATATGTATAAGAATAAACAACCTTGAAAACCAACATGGACGATTTATGATTTCTTTGTCAGTGGGGCTGATGGAGACTTTCTCCAATCTGGGAATCATTTCAATATCCCAGGTTCCGACAGGGGCTCACCTGGAAGATGCTGGGGGTGTACTCGTCGTCGATGGATCGGTGGGAGCGGAGGCTCCGAGCAGCCCCCGGCGCCTCCACCGTGGCCAGTTCCAGCAGGAAGCGGGAGCCGTTCCCGCGGGGAGCCACCCCGGCCAGCAGGAATTCCAGCTGGGAGCTCTCCGCGCTGTGCAGCAGCCGCGGCAGCCGCCCCGAGCGGCCCGGGGAGGCGTAGGCGGTCAGCTGGGGGCACAGGGGACAATGAGGGACAATGAGGGACAGGGGGACAATGAGGGACAGAGGGACAGGGGACAATGAGGGACAATGAGGGACAGGGGGACAGGGGGACAATGAGGGACAGGGGGACAGATAGGGACAGAGGGACAGGGAGGGACATAGGGGGACAGGGGGACAATGAGGGACAGTGAGGGACAGGGGGACAATGATGGACAGCGAGGGACAATGAGGGACAGGGAGGGACACAGGAACAGGGGGACAACAATGAACAGAGGGACAGTGAGAGACAGAGAGGGACAGAGGGACAGTGAGGGTCAGTGAGGGACAGCAAGGCACAATTAGGGACAGAGGGACAATGAGGGACATGGGGACACCATGGGTCAGAGGTACAGCGAGGGACAGGGGGCAGAGGGACAATGAGGGTCAGAGGGACAGCACAGGACAGGACAGTGAGGGACATGCTCCCTGCCCTCTGGACGTGTCCCCTGCCCTGTGGAGACATCCCCTGTCCCCTGGCCATGCTCTCTGCCCCCTGGATATGTCCCCTGTCCCCTGGACATGTCCCCTACCCCTTGATGTGCCTCTCTGTCCCCTGGCCATGTCCCCAGCCCCCTGGCCATGTCCCCCTGGCCATGCCCCCTGCCCCATGGCCGTGCCCCCTGCCCCCTGAAGACATCCCCTGCCCCCTGGCCATGCCCCCAGCCCCCTGGCCATGTCCCCAACCCCCTGCCCATGCCCCCAGCCCCATGGCCGTGCCCCCTGCCCCCTGGCCGTGCCCCCAGCCCCCTGGCCATGCCCCCAGCCCCCAGGCCATGTCCCCTGCCCCCTGGCCGTGCCCCCAGCCCCATGGCCATGCCCCCAGCCCCCTGGCCGTGCCCCCAGCCCCCTGGCCATGCCCCCTGCCCCCTGGCCGTGCCCCCTGCCCCCAGACACACCCGGAATGCCAGGCTGCCGTTGGCGAAGGCCCCGCCGGGGTCGGTGGCCGGGGCCCCGCGGAGCTCGGCCGTCAGCGCCGTGCGGTTCAGGCTGAGGCTGTCCCAGGAGAACTCAGACAGGTCATAGGCGGGGTAGAAGAGCTCCCCCGAAGGATTTCTGGCCTGGCTGAACTCGAAGAGCTGCAGGGAAAGGAGGGGAGAGGGGCTGGGAGCACCCGGGGGCAGAGCTGCCTCAGCCAAGCAGCTCAGACACTTCCCTGGATGGGGATGGTGGGGATGGGTGGGGAGGGATGGATGGGGATCAGTGTGAATTTCCCAGGAGCTGGGAAGCTGCCCAGGGACCCCCTGCACCCCCAGGTGTACCAGAGCACCCCTTGCTGTGGGAATCCAGAGCTTCCCTCTGGCTGCCCTGGGACCCTGGCAGGGATCAGGAACCCCCCTGGACAGAGCCCCCAGAGACACTGGCTGTGATCTCTGTCCATGGAAAAGAGTTTTCAATCTTACAGGATCAATTACCAGCTCTGAGTGTTTGATATCAGTAATAATTAAGTGTGGCACGGGTGCAAAAGTAAAATTTTAGGATTCTAGATAAGGGGTTCAGAGGGGACAAGATGGAGGAAATTGGGTGTGCCTTGTCCTTTTTCTCCTTCTTCACTCCCTCCATGTTTCACTGTGGTGTTGGCATTTTTCTGTTGGTTTAGGCTGGGGACACACTGTCCAACGTAGGTGACAGATATTGGCACGTTATTGTAAATCCAGCACAGGTAGTTTGTGGTATTTAATGTTTGTAACATCCCACTGAGGGGTGTTACACTGGCACGTTATTGTAAATATAGCACACATATATAATGTTTGTAACATTATATACCAGAAACTGGGGACTGGGTTTAGGCTGGGGACACACTGTCCAACGTAGGTGACAGATATTGGCACGTTATTGTAAATCCAGCACAGGTAGTTTCTGGTATTTAATGTTTGTACCATCCCACTGAGGGCAGAGCCCCACACGCTGCCCTGCAGGACAGACCTGCTGCAGGTCAGACAGAACATGTTATAAACAAACAGAATAAACAACCCTGAAACCAGCACAGATTAATTATGACTTCTTCTTTGGCCACAGGGCTCAGAGACTTTCTACAATCTCAGAATCATCAACCCCACAGCTTCCACCACCCTGCCAGCTGTACCTTGGTGAAAACCACGGCCGTGGCGTAGACCACGCTGTCGGGAGGCTCGATCCAGACGGCTCCAGCAGGGTTGGGGGACAGCAGCTGGGTCCAGTTGACCCTCAGGGCACTGCTGGGGCTGCTGGTGGCCACCAGGAGCACGGAGGGGGCCCCGATGCTGCTCCAGACGTAGTGCAGGCTGTCCTCGGGCCCCAGCGCCCGCACGTGCAGCAGGTTCACCGAGGAGCTGTTCCAGCCTGGGTTGTACTCCATGGACACCTGCGGGGACAGGGTTTGGGGTGGCTCTGAGCCCTGTGGGAGGGTTGGGGCGCTGCAGCTGCCTCGGCTGCCGTGACTCTGCGGGCCTGGTGTTGCTCAATGCGCTCGGTCAGCATTTTACAGCTTTGAGCTGCTGGCCATGCTCACGGCCCTTCCCTTCCACAGCTCCTTCCTTTCCCTTCCACAGCCCCTTCCTTTCCCTTCCACAGCTCCTTCCCATCCCATCCCACCCTACAACCCCTTCCTTTGCCATCCCACAGCCCCTTCCCATCCTAATGGCCCTTCCTGCCCCACAGCCCCTTTTCATCCCACAACCCTTTTTCATCCCCACCCCACAGCCCCTTCCTTTTCCCCCCCACAGCCCCTTCCCGCCCCACAGCCCCTTCTCATCCCACAACCCTTTTCCATCCCCACCCCACAGCCCCTTCCTTTTCCACCCCACAGCCCCTTCTCACCCCACAGCCCCTTCCCATCCCACTGCCCTTATCCACCCCACCCCACAGCTCCTTCCCACCCCACAGCCCCTTCCCCTCCCAGAGCCCATTCCCACCCCACAGCCCCTTCCCATCCCACAGCTCCTTCCCACCCCACAGCTCCTTCCCATCCCACCTCACAGCCCCTTCCCACCCCACAGCCCCTTCCTTTCCCACCCCACAGCCCTTTTCCATCCCCCCCCACAGCGTCTTCCACAGCCCCATCCCACCCCACAGCCCCTTCCCATCCCACAACCCCTTCCCATCCCACCCCACAGCCCCTTCTCATCCCACAGCCCCATCCCACCCCACAGCCCCTTCCTTTCTCACCCCACAGCCCCACCCCACCCCACAGCCCCATCCCACCCCACAGCCCTGCTGGTCCCCCTGGCTCAGGCCAAAGGGCAGCCGAGGGACAGAGCCGGGTGGCCCTGGGCCATGTCGCCGCAGGTCCCCACGTGTCGCGACAGGGGAAGGGCGGATCCTCTCCAGCCCTTGTGAGACCCCGGCGAGCCCCAAAACCCCCCAAAACCCCCCAAAACCCCCCAAAACTGGGGCCCAGCGGGTGCGGGGCTCCAGCTCCAGCAGGTCACAAAACTGTCCCAAAAGTTTCCGCACACCACGAGCCAAAACTCCTTAAGGCCGATGGCGGCAGAGCCCCGGAACGGCTGCTCCGGTCAGAGCGGAGGGTCCCGCTCCGGGCACACCCCAAACCCACCGGGATGTCCCCGTGTCACCTGCCCTGGGTGACCCCAGTGTCCCGGGAGGACACGGGAAGGGGGTCTGGGCCACCGGTACCCCCCGGTACCCCCCGAGCCCCGCTCACCTTCCGGCTCCGCTCGGCCCCGGTACCGCCGGTACCCCCCGGTACCCCCGCTCACCCTCCGGCTCCGCTCGGCCCCGGTACCCCCGGTACCCCCCGGTACTCCCGGTACCCCCCGGTACCCCCGGTATCCCCGGTGCCCCCCGGTAACCCCGCGCATCTTCTGGCTCCGCTCGGCCCCGGTACCCCCCGGTATCCTCCGGTGCCCCCCGGTACTCCCGGTACCCCCCGGTACCCCCGGTACTCCCGGTGCCCCCGGTACTCCCGGTACCCCGGTCACCTTCCGGCCCCGCTCGCCCCCGGTACCCCCCGTACCCTCCGGTACTCCCGGTACCCCCCGGTACCCCGCTCACCTTCCGGCTCCGCTCGGCCCCGGTACCCCCAGTACTCCCGGTACCCCCGGTGCCCCCGGTACCCCCCGGTGCCCCCGGTACCCCCCGGTACTCCCGGTACCCCCCGGTACCCCCGCTCACCTTCCGGCTCCGCTCGGCCCCGGCCGCCGCCAGCAGCGCCGCCAGCAGCGCCAGCCCCGCAGCGGCGGCCATGGCGGCACCGGAACGGCCGCGGGACCGCCCCGGATCCGCCCTTGGACCGCCCCGGTACAGCCCCAGGGACTTCCCTTCGACCGCCCCGGATCCGCCCTTGGACCGCCTCGGTACCGCCCCGGTACGGCCCCGGTACCGCCCCTCGCATAAAGGCTCCCCGGGGGCCGGGAACCGCTCAGGGTTTGCCCTTCTCCTTCTGCCCCCGCCTGCGCTGGGCCCCCTCCGTGCCCCAGAGCAGCAGAGACCCCCACGGCCGTCACCCCGTGGGGTGGAGACCCCCATGTCATCACCCCGTGGGGTGGAGACCCCCATGGCCATCATCCCATGGAGTGGAGACCCCCATGGCCATCATTCTCCCCCATGGCCATCATCCTGTGGGGTGGAGACCTCCATGGCCATCATTCCCCCCCATGGCCATCATCCCATGGAGTGAGACCCCCATGGCCGTCATCCCATGGAGTGGAGACTCCCATGTCCATCATCCCCCACCATGGCCATCATCCTGTGGGGTGGAGACCCCCATGGCCATTATCCCCCCCCCATGGCCGTCATCCCATGGGGTGGAGACCCCCATGGCCATCGTCCCGTGGGGTGGAGACCCCCATGTCATCATCCCCCCCCCATGGCCATCACCCCATGGGGTGGAGACCCCCATGTCCATCATCCCGTGGGGTGGAGACCCCCATGTCATCATCCCGTGGGGTGGAGACCCCAATATCCATCATCCCATGGGGTGGAGACCCCCATGTCATCATCCCGTGGGGTGGAGACCCCCATGTTCATCATCCCATGGGGTGGAGACCCCCATGGCCATCATCCCCCCCATGGCCATCGTCCCGTGGGGTGGAGACCCTCACGGCCATCATCCCCCCCCCATGGCCATCATCCCATGGAGTGGAGACCCCCATGTCCATCATCCCCCCCCATGTCCATCATCCCATGGGGTGGAGACCCCCATGTCATCATCCCGTGGGGTGGAGACCCCCATGTTCATCATCCCGTGAGCTGGAGACCCCCATGTTCATCATCCCATGGGGTGGAGACCCCCATGGCCATCATCCCCCCCCATGTCCATCATCCCGTGGGGTGGAGACCCCCATGTCCATCATCCCATGGAGTGGAGACCCCCATGTCCATCATCCCGTGGGGTGGAGACCCCCATGGCCGTCATCCTGTGGGGTGGAGACCCCCATGTCCATCATCCCCCTCCATGGCCATCATCCCATGGGGTGGAGACCCCCGTGGGGTGGAGACCCCCATGTCATCATCCCGTGGGGTGGAGACCCCCATGTCATCATCCCATGGTGTGGAGACCCCCATGTCAAAAAACATTGTTTATTTTGGGTTTAGGATTGCCAGGGGAACATTCCAGAGTTTTTCTTGCTTCTAGGGTTGTGAAACAACAAAAAAAACAATTTTTTGCTAAGTACAGGATTTCCAGGGGAAAATTCCAGAGTTTTTCATGGTTCTAGGGTTGTCAAACAACCAAAAAAAAAATTGGTTTTGTTTGGTTTAGGATTGCCAGAGGAAAATTCCAGATTTTTGTTGGTTCTAGGGTTGTCAAACGACAAAAACCATTGTCCTCTTCTAATCTTTCCCCAGAGAAAAATTCAGCATCAGAGATTTACATTTCTTTGTGAAAAAAATGGTCGAATTTATCCCAAGAAATGCCACCAGAAGGTTCTGACCCGTTTTCCTCCAGCTGGGCCCAACTTGGAAAGCACAAAACACCTTTGAGGAAGAAAATATCAAAAATGGGAGAGAACTGGGGGGCACATGTGGGGTTAATTTACCAAGAATTCCTACCTGGATAAAATCTGAGTTTATTTACCAAGAATTCCTACTTGGATAAAATCTGAGTTTATTTACCAAGCATTTCTACCTGGATAAAATCTGAATTTATTTACCAAGCATTCCTAACTGGATAAAATCTGAGTTAATTTACCAAGCATTTCTCACTGGAGAGAATCTTGAATTTTCGGAACACCAGAACTCAGCCTTTTCTGCTGGATTTCCCAGAGGAAAATCTATATTTACAAAAATAGCAAAAAAAAATTGTAATTTACAAAATTTACATTTTTTTTGGCATATATTTGAAAAAATGGCCCCATTTATCCCAAGAAATGCCACCAGAAGGTTCTGACCTGCTTTCCTCCACTTGGGACCTACTTGGAAAGCACAAAACACCCCTATCGTTATATAAGTTACATATTAATTAATTAATTAGCTTAAATTTCCTTTTAACCCTAAAACCCTTTTACTATCAGGAGGAGATCACGAAGGGAATGAGGGAAGGGGGAGATGATGGAGGGGAAATTGATGATGGAGAAGAAATTGATGATGGAGGGGAAATAAGATGATGGAGGAGAAAGAGATGATGGAGGAGAAATTGATGATGGAGGAGAAAGAGATGATGGAGGGGAAATTGATGATGGAGAAGAAATTGATGATGGAGAAGAAACGGATGATGGAGGGGAAATTGATGATGGAGGAGAAATTGATGATGGAGGAGAAATAAGATGATGGAGAAGAAATAAGATGATGGAGGGGAAATTGATGATGGAGGAGAAATTGATGATGGAGGAGAAATAGGATGATGGAGAAGAAATTGATGATGGAGGGGAAAGAGATGATGGAGGAGGAATTGATGATGGAAGGGAAAGAGATGATGGAGGAGAAATTGATGATGGAGAAGAAATTGATGATGGAGAAGACACAGATGATGGAGGGGAAATTGATGATGAAGGAGAAAGAGATGATGGAGGAGAAATAAGATGATGGAGGGGAAATTGATGATGGAGGAGAAATGGATGATGGAGGGGAAATTGATGATGGAGGAGAAAGAGATGATGGAAGAGAAATTGATGATGGAGGGGAAAGAGATGATGGAGAAGAAATTGATGATGGAGGGGAAATTGATGATGGAGAAGAAATTGATGATGGAGGGGAAAGAGATGATGGAGGAGAAATTGATGATGGAGGAGAAAGAGATGATGGAGGAGGAATAAATGATGGAGAAGAAACAGATGATGGAGAAGAAAATGATGATGGAGAAGAAACAGATGATGGAGGGGAAATTGATGATGGAGAAGAAACAGATGATGGAGGAGAAATAAGATGATGGAGGAGAAATAAGATGATGGAGGAGAAATTGATGATGGAGAAGAAATTGATGATGGAGGAGAAATAAGATGATGGAGGGGAAATTGGTGATGGAGAAGAAACAGATGATGGAGAAGAAATTGATGATGGAGAAGAAAAGGATGATGGAGAAGAAACAGATGATGGAGAGGAAATGCCTCAAGAAGGGAGCACAGGGATGTCCCAAAAAGTCATCCCATCCCCACGGGGTCGTTATAAACATCACAGAGGGGATCTTGGAAGGGAAATGGCACTAAAAGAAAAGAGACACCTGCCTGGAGATCATCTCTGCCGGGACTCGAACCCGGAACCTCTGGATTAGAAGTCCAGCGCGCTCGTCCATTGCGCCACAGAGACCTCACCGTGAGGGGAGCGGCGGCGGCTCCGGAACTGAAAAATCCCCACCTCCAGATCCCCCTCCCCGCTCAAAACCAGGCAGGAATAATCCCAGGGATGATCCATTTCTGTCTCGGCAGCGGGGGATGCAGCAAAAAGCTGGATGCAGGCTGGTACCCGCCTCCCTTTCCGCAGCATCTCCGAGCACAGCTAAATCCTGGATCGCTGTGTCTCTGCATCTCCCCTCTCAGCATCCTCACGGCTGCACAAGGGAAGGGATAAAGATGAAAAGAGGATTTAGAGGATGAAAAAAAAAGCACCGAGGAGCTGAGGTTTGAGCACGGGGGTGAAAGGGGAAGCAGCCAGCGTGGGTTTTCTTTCAGTGAGCCGTCAGTCACGGGGGCAATGAGGAAACGTCGTGGCTCTTCTGTTGGGGGGAAAAAAAATGAAGACAGATGTCAAAACAAAACAGGAAAGGTTCATTTAAAGGCACTGACCTGTTAACAATGGATCAGACTCTGGCACAAGGGAACGGTGCATTTGGAATCCCTGAACGGAATGTATTTCAGGCTGTTGTTCTCTCCCAAACACACCCTCAGTTCCCGGGAAAGGGGAGATGGAAAGTGCAATCCAAAATGAGGAATTCCCTGACACAGGCAGCTTTTGCCTCGAGGTCAGTGTTCTCTTCCTGGCAGAGAACAGCTCAGAGCAGGAATAAAGAGGAGATTCACCCCAAAACCCAAAACTGAAGATAAACCCCCCCAGTTCCAGTGAAAGGGAGATGTTAAGTGCAATCCAAGAAGAGGAATTCCCTGACACACGAAGCTTTTGCCTCGAGGTCAACGTGACCTGAAACTCAGGCAGCTCCTCCTGGCAGAGAACAGCTCAGAACAGGAATAAAGAGGAGATTCACCCCAAAGTGGAACCAAAACCTCCAAATTGAGGATAAATACCACAGATTCTGACAGGCAAGGAGCTGACTTCTGCCCAAAGCCAGCTGTGGAGCTGTGTGGTGCTGAGGGGAAGAGGCACAGCACTGCCAACCTCAGCACACCTAATGCAAACCCAAAGGATTTGGTTGTCCTTTTGCTCATGGAAAGCTTTAGGGTGGTCTTGACAAGTAAAAATCCACCTTGGAGTGGTGGGAAAGGAGGCAGGGGTTGAACTTCTATCAGAAAAACCTTTCCTGCTGCAAAAGATAATCCAGGAAATTGATAATCCTTGAAATAAATCCTTCTGCGAACCAACTGTGATCAAACTGGGACCTGGAGAAAACTCCCAAGTTGAGAAAACACCCATCTGCAGGGTGACCAAAGGCTGTGCTTAAAAATGTCATAGGAAAAAACAAATTAAAATCTTAGACAAAGGTAAAAAGCTCTAAAGGATGAGAAAAATCTCCCACAGCCCCGTGACTGTGTGTGGCTCTCTGGAATCAGAGTTTTGAAGGGATTCCCCCTGCCTGCAGCTCCCCTCAGCCCTAATTGCACCAAACCCAGGAAAAGACCAGAAGTTTGAGCTTATCCTGGTGAAAATGCCACATTTTTGTCAGGGGAGCACCAG